TACGTCTAGCTGAAGAAGTCTCTTAAAGGTTAATGCTTTATTTTAATTTATTTTATTCTATACACATTATCTCTACTGTAGGGCAGTAAGGTCTTTATCATGCCAAGAGTTATGAACATAATGTACTGTGTATAGTGTCAGCAGGGTCCGTGAGATCTGGACATGCTAAATGCATCCTTAGGTGTGGGACAAGGGACATGACATGAACAGGATTGAACAGAGTTGATAATGGCTGAGAAGGTGAAGCTGAACCGTGCATTCACTGCATTAACTACAGAATCCTATGATAAAGTGCACTTCTTTGGTGCTTAGATTCCTCCAACACCTGCTCCCATACTCTGTCCAGTGGCCGAGTTCCACTTTGTCTGACTCTTAATATATCCTCTGAAATCATTCTGCAACCTCCAACACTCAGGACATAATCCCAGGTGCTCTTCAGACTCCAGTTAGATGTATTGACCACATTGCTCTACACAAAAGGGTTTTATCTCTTCCTTCAAAGGCACTGTCATATTCCATAGTCTTTGTGAGCAAAGTCAGTCACTTCCCTCTGTCATTTCCCTGTGTTAATCCCTGACATCTCCCACTTGAGTAATGGCTTCCAGCTGGCGCTCTTCTAAATGCCCTAACAAGTCTGCTACATTTTCCTTGTCTAAAAATACTTGTTTACTTCATCAGGGTTGTATCAGGTTGGTCTAGCATGACTTAAATTTAATAAAATATATTTTTATCTCATTTTCTGCTGTCTTCCACGTATTTAATTATCCTTCAAAATACAGCCTGAATTCTTGTTACAGGGAGATATTAAAAAGTCTGTAGTTTGCTGAAATGTGTTTTGTCCCTTTCCTAAGTGCAAGTATTCATGTACTGTCCCACTACCATTACATAAATCTCCAGTTTGAGAAGTCTGGTTAAAATCCTTGCCATGAGACCTCACACTTAGCAGTTCCCCCAGTCCCATCCTTCCATATTTCCTGACCTCATCAGCTTCATGACGTTCTTCTACTTTTAGTTCCACCTTAGATGCAGTGTTGTCCTTCACTAAGCTCTAAACATGTATTATCCAGTCTTCCCACCATCTTATGCATTTAAAACTGAAATCCTGCCTTTGTTTAGTTTCGGGAAAATGTTCCTTTTGTGCTTAAAGGTCCACCTTTTCTCAAACCCCTTTTAATTATTATTTTTTTATTTTATAAAGGAGATTTGCAGCAGCTCACGGCTAGACTTTCAGCAGTTTTCTGTCTGTCCTGGTACTTGTGATCCATACCACACAGCTTTGAATTGGCATCTCAGTGCCTAAAAGTCTGCAGCAATAGTTAGTAGGGCTCCAACAGTTTCAGGAACTGGGAAAAATTTGCAGTCAGCAGAAAGAGGAGTCTCCCAACAAAGGTATCCTATTCATTAAGTGTCTTAGCTTGCCAAGGAATACACGTCATTACTGTGGAGGCTTATTAGAGCTGTTACGTGTCACCTCCTACATTCTTCTTACATGATTAAGAGGCCTCCTTGCCCCAGACATCTCTGTACTGACCTCTCCTGGTAACAGCTATTTTGCCAAGCCACATTTTTATGCACAGGCCAATGAATCTTCAGGCTCCTTTTCTCTACAGAGACAGAGAGACTGGTTACACCAAGCAACCAGAGCAATTGCCTGAGTCTGTGGCCACGGGGCTAAGGTAAGATGGGGACTCTTGGCTTAGTTGGGTAGTGGTGCAAGATATCTGAAATACAGGAGGGCACTGAAACTACCAACTGTCTCAAGGGACACCATTGGGCTCTCTCTGCCCTTCAGCCACACTCTCCAGCAGCCCCCAGCTGCTGACAATCTCCTGTGCTGCTGTCACATCCCACTCACCACCTACCTTTCTGGATACCTTCATTCAGCACCTTCTGCTCACAGGAAAAGAAAGGATTTGAGAAATTTGAGATTTTTCATCTAATATAAATTCTTGGTCATGTAGGGCCAGTGCAACATTGAGAAAGATGTATTGAACTGTGATCTTTCTAACTAAATAGAAGCTTAGCTTGGTCTATATGCTACATTTAATGTGTCTTACTGACTGGGATGCACCAGCTGTCAAACTGGGATGTGATAAAAAATAGGGATGCATTGCTCCCTGCACCCCCCAGACCCCCTACAGTCAGTCTTCACAGTAACACACTTAGATATTTAGCTGAAATTGAAGTGGAGGGGGAAATTCATCTACCTGAAAATTTAATTTCACTAGATTCTCAGAACTGTTTGTGTTACGTAGAGATTGTTAATTCCTCTGCCCACAATGCAGACGTCTCTGCCTTTCTACTTGAGAGGCTTGAGTTTATCCCCAAAAGACCTACAGAAGAGAATAGTCACCATCAGTTCCAGCCTCCTGTATTACTGCGATTATAGCACTTCCCTACATGAACCTGCTTCACACACAGTTAATCCCCACCTGTACAGATTTTAATGATGGAAAACCTGCCACCTCACTTGTTCTGCTGATTTTAACAGCTTTGCTGTTAAAAAGAAAGACATTTGTCTTTCTTTCAGCATGGCAAATGGTCATTTCTCCAAATTTGTTTCAGTCAGAATGTTTGTTTCAGTGATCAGGTAGGTACACACGTGGCCTCCGTTGCTGCAATAGCTGAGCACTTCAGCCTCTTCAATTTATTTAGAGCAGATCTGCTACAATGACTCCAGAGTACAGAACTTGAGCGGGAAGATGTTTGATATCAAACTTGAATGTGTAGTAACGAGTGAAGTTGTTTCAGGATTTAAACCTGGAAAAGGCTTCTTTCCCCCCACTCACCTTTGCCTGTATTGATCCACTGTGGATTCTCCCCGTACGCAGAGGGGAGCAGTGGCACTTCTCTGCATCCAGCCAATAACATGGATTGCAAAATCTCGGGATACTGCATAGCTAATATTAACACTGCTTAATCAGAAAACCAAGCATTTGATATTGAAATGCCAATTGAAAGCAATAAATCTGAGTGAAATAGGAGACTGATTCCCCCTGTATCAGCTGTACCCATTGGGATGTATTTTGTGATACAGCGTGCGGTTTAATTTCACTGATGTCTATCCTGTTTAGAATATTTCATATCTTCCCCGTGCACCCAAGCATATTGCTATGGCAGGTGATTATTACAATGAAGTACAATACAGCAATGGAGACATACCTTTGTGTTAACACTGAAGTTGGTTCATCTAATTATGATTTTTTGGGACCTTCGGTACCAATTAGACATGACTCAGTCACAGCAGAATTGTGCATGCTAGAATTTGACACTTGAGGATCACTAATCCGTCAGCCTGTCATTTTGTGGGATGCTCCTGTATCAGGTTTCAGTTTAATTTCTGAATTTTGTTAACATGTCCACAAAATCTGCCTTAGTTTTCACACACAGTTGAAACCAGCTCTTCTCATTAATCATAGAACACCATTTTCAAAAGTGTTCATATGCCCTGTAGCAAGAACAACTGAGTTAGTTCTACTGATTTAAGCAGCAGCAGAATTAGATCAATATTTTTCTATTGAGAATCCCTCTGGAGACAATCACTGAAGAATCTTGAACCTGAAAAAAACTTAGCACTCATAGGAAACTGTCTCAAGTTTGTCTCCTTTTGAATGGCATGCAGTGGTTCAGAGAGCTTTGCTGCAGGGCACTGCCTGTATTTCCTGGTTTTGGTGTGCTGATGTGTTTGTTATGGAACATACTTCCAGAGCCTTTTTCATTGTCCTTGATGCTACAGTAACTTTGTTAAAAGGATTTATGCAGGTGACAGAGTGACATCATACTTTTATGATATTTTATTTTGAGATTGCTGTAGTTTGATCGTAAAGAACCTATTCCTGTCCCCACTGATGTTACTAGAGCTATCACTGGCTTTAGGAAAAACAGGATCAAGCTGATAAGTAGCATAGAAGTTAGAATAAAGAAAAATAAGGCAGCTTACACAATGAAATAAAAACTAACCAGGCATATTCAGATAATGAAAGATTCCCTTATCATCATCATAAAAGGATTTTATCTATGCACTCACCTAGACATTTTAGAGGAACTTGTATCACCATGCAATCATGGTTTACATTAGCTGAGAGGAAAGAAACTGAAATAAACTTGTTGGTAAGGTGCAATTCTTTGTACAAATTTAATTAATTTGAGGCAAACCTATCTTACCTCGGGTTTGGTCACTGCTAAGGAATCAATTTAAGCTACCATTCACTCAGTGAAAGTCCACTCAGAAGTTTGCTGTAGCCTAATGTCAGTTTTTAAAGCAAAAGCAGCTTCTCAGTGTAAAGAGAACCTCAGCAGAAGATTTCTATCCCTTTCTATCCTCTTTCTATCCCTTTCTATCCCTCTATTTCTGTTTCTTGTCAGGAGGAATCAGAATGGCAACAGGCAGCGTTACACCAAAAGCTGATGTTTTGGGAAGGCAGCAGTTCTCTCAACAGAGTAACCTTGCTGAGCCAAAAGACAAGATTTTTCCTTTTAACTGCTTTTACCTATGTCCCTTGTCAAGCTACAGTCAACACTAAAATAGCCCATAAATTCTGCTAAATCGAAGTCTGCAAAATTAACAGAAGTCACATCACATACATAAGTAAATCTTTCTCTCCATCTCTTAATTCCTCTCACTGATGCAGATCTCCTGAGAGGTCTCACAAAAGAAAAATGTGCCTGTTGGGTGCAGGGGGGGGACGACAGCAGAGAGGCAGCGAGGGTACATTACACAAAAACCTTAGTGCCACTCTACTGCTGATCTTTATTCTAGTAACTGCTTCTCTGTACGGGCTGGACTCTGCTGTCAGCCCAGTTCAGAACAGAATCTCCATGGAGAGCCTCCTTCAAGCCAGTGTCTCATTCAGAATTAGTATCTTTCTCACCCGGTTTTGCACCCTTTTTCTATGCCTCTCTGTGTTCCCCAATAGTAAGATACATGTTCTATTTACAGCACAATATTTTGTCTTTTTAAGACCGTGTGCGTTAACCAATATTCTGCACTTGTTTCTAAGGGCACCAGCAATAACTACGGAGCAATACCATGGTGGGACCATGCAATCCAGACTGCACATACACACTACATGGAGCACAGATTTATTGTACCCCCTTCTAGCACAGACTGCTTGGACAAGCTGCTAATGCCCAAGGCCAGAGAGAGAGGAACTGCAGCTGGGGATAACACCACCAGTCGGCTTCTGTACACTCATTTGAGGTCTACAGGTAAGGATTTGCTAATAAAGGCTGGTGATTATTAGTACAAAAAGTCATTCTAAAGGTTTAGAGAGGTATCATGTATTCCCTTGCAAAAGTTCCCCTTTCATGCAACCTTAAGTCAGTCAGTAGATTTACCAGCAAGGAGCAGGGACACCCCATTCTCTTCATGTGCTTGTTTTAAGGGACTGTGAGGCTGCAGGGATTAAACTACGTGCTCGTTGCAGTTCTTTTGAGTCTGCACACACAGTTGATATTATTATACTTCTTAACCCCCCTGGCTGTCACCTACACTTAGCCCACGGTGCCGAGCAGATCACTCACCTGCCGTTCTTGGTCACGATCATCTCATTAGTGACTTCCCTGAATCTCTGCCAGAGCGTCGCATCCTCTAAGACAACCTGGAGCTGTTTCTCAGTGGGGTCGCCTTTGTCTCTCCCGGCCCGGAGTTCGCTCTCCACGACGCTGAGGAGCCTGGAGACGGTGCAGTCGCTGGGCTTTTTGCAGCCCAGGTCTGCCATGACGACTTCACTGCCAGAAACTTCAGGTAGCTGTTAAAAGACAAAAATCATGAGCTAAATCAAAGAAGGAGTCAGTTCGTTGGGCACAGCCTGACAAACGTGCTCTCCTCACTCTTTTGCCACTGACTGGCTCTTTCCTCTGGAAGTCCCAATGGGCAGTGACACCAGCGTGTGGAGGTTTACGCACACACTCCACACAAAAAGAGGACTATCTCCTAATTACCTGTCAGACGGTCAGGTGGGTGGCAGGCTGATGACTCAATTGGCTGCCTTGAAAGAAGAGTCCTCCATCCAAATTAGCATGCTTTTATCTTTTTTCAACCTGAAGTGGGTCTAATTGTTCTGCTTGAGAACCAGGTTTCCATTAATGAAAATTGTTTCATTTCCAGACTGAAACAATGCATGGAAATTGCGTTCACGCTGATGCGGACTCTGACTGAAGGAGCTGGTAACAGTCAAGATAGTTACACAGAGAAGGTAGTCTTAAAATATTTCCACCAGGCACGTTGAATAAATGCATTAACCTTGTTCCTCTACCTTCCTAAATCAAAATGTAATAGTAGGAGACCCTTCTGCACTGAGGTTTCAATGCACCAAGGAGAAGGTAGCATCTCCGTGCTCCACCATTGATGCCTGCTGTGTCCATCTCTTGGTCCCACTGTCATTGATAAAACCCCTGCTGCACCTCACAAGCCGTTGAACTCTTCTCTGGCTGCATTTTCAGAGACATGGAAGCATTTCCCTGTGCTTCTGGGGCTGAGTGTCAGCCTAACTGCTGAGGCCTGGCATTGCTGACGGGCTCAAGATCTGTCGCTGACAAGCCTGATCCAACTGCACGTACTCTTGCAAAGGGCAGCCATAAAAGAAGGCACCATTTTACTGAGAAGTCCAACAATTTCAGCACTCAGCCAGGAATAGGAGAGACCTGGGTTCAGGTCCATGCAAAAGGATTAAGTGGAGACCACGTGAATATTGGTGACCCATAAACATTGGACCTTGGCACATAACGAAGCATTTCTCCTGATGAATCTAGCTCAGATACCATCCGAGAAGTTTCTGGTCTGTCGGACATAACATAGTCAGGGGCTTGATCATGAAAACATACTGTTGGAGTTTGTTTTTAGAGAAATACATTTTCTAGTTACTTACTGAGAACTTTGCATTCATTTAATTCAACAGCCCCTGTTGAATTCCTGTGCTTCTGGTCCTTTCTAAAAGATTAAATGACCTGGTGGATCACTGATGGGATTTAGAAAGACAAGAAAGGGTTTGGTGTAAAACAGGATTTAAGTTCATCATTTGACAAGCTCAACAGATCTTGCAGTTAAAAAACCTGAGAGATGCCACCTACACTAAGCAGCAAGGATCAGAACTTGTTGATCCTATTTGTGGTGTACGGCACCTTATTTGGCTACTAGTCCTACTAATCCCTCAAGCCCTACATGGAATAAGGACACTGGCTGCAAGTCCTCACAACGGCACAGCTGCAGGTGTGCAGCAATGTCATGTTCTGCAGAATGGGAGCCTTTAGGAGAGGACATTCAAGTCCCAGCAATCTCAGTACCATTGGAAGGTGCAAGCCAGACAGGCCTGAGGTATTTTCACTGAATTTCACTGAATTTTTAGAGTTGGAAGGGACCATAGAGATCATCTAGTCCAACTCCCCTGCTGAAGCAGGATTGCCTAGAGCTTGTCAGAGCATGTTACTCAGGAGCATCCAGGCGGGTCTTGAAAATTTCCAAAGAAGGGGACTCCACAACCTCCCTGGGCAGCCTGTTCCAGGGCTCTATCACCCTTACTGTGAAGAAGTTTCTCCTCATATTTGAGTGGAACCTCTTATGTTCCAACTTGTGCCCGTTGCCCCTCGTCCTCTCACTGGGAACCACTGAAAAGAGTCTGGCTCCCTCCTCCTTCAACCCTCCCTTGAGATACTTGTCAGCATGTTTGTAACATTTTTACATCTGGGTAATCGCAATCATGCTACTTTCAAACTTCACACTCTAATAACATCTTCCCTCTCTTCTTATCAGCCTTTCTGTATTTTATTTTTTTTAAATTTGTGAACTCATTACAAAATTACCTAGATTACTCTATCAGTCAACTCACCTTGTGAGTTACACTAGAAGTTGTTAAATAGCAACTTCTAGTTAACATCCGGCCCACTTTCACTGTTGAACAACTGAAGGATGTTCTTTAAAAAATCCAAAGGATGTTTAGCTAATTGGGAGACTGCCACTTTGCATTTGGAAAAATAATTGCATCTCAGGTAGTACGTTTGTGTAACGTGGATTATATTTAAGTTTGGGCTTTCCTTTTCAAACACTCAAAGAGGAGAGAGAAGCTACTACTGTAATATTTCCCTGCATGTGATAAAATAGCATAGTAAATGCATAGAAGACCGTGAGGCAGTTTTTTATTTCATTACATTATAAATAAACACAGAATTCAGACCTAGTGGAAGTTTTTTCAGTTCAACAACTTCAGGTTGTTGGACAGCTCTAAAACAAATAACTCAGTGTTATTTTTTGATTTTTTTTTTTTTTTTTAAGTCAAGGCCCTATTTCCACACAGCTTTTGTTAGATTTAGTTGCTCAGAAATCAGGAGATTCAAAGTTGAGGCAGGTGCAGGGACAATAACTCACAAAAGTAGCAATATTTCAGTAGTTACACACCGTTCCTTCTATAGACAAATAAAAGGGGAAGCGGCTTGATTTTCACCAGTTCTGTTTGCCCATCTCTCCCACAGGCTTCAAATGGAGTGATACCAGATTAAAGGCTCTGAAAAATCAGATCCCATCTGCCTTCCTCAAAACACTTAGAGAAATCAAACACTAAAAGAAATCAAAAGCATGCACAGAAACGGTACCAGTTCACGTCGGTGGAGGGGTTTCAAAATGAGGAAGGGAAAGGCGGTCTCACCAGCAGACACTGGTGAATTGCTAGAGGTAAAGAATATTCTCAGCAAAGATGGATTGGAAATGGAGGCAGCCACAAAGCAAAAGAAAGGGAGGTCCTGCTCTGGGTGGCTTGCTTGCCCAAAGCACCCCTGGGACAGAGTTGTGGAGAAAGATGGCTATATGGAAGGAAATAATAACGGAACCATTCCAATAACGGGCTGGGAAGCAAGTTTTTCATCCAATAAGACCGTACTTTTTACAGCTGAGAGAGAAGCACAAAGACATTTGCTTTGGAGTATCATACTAAAATTTGCATCCTGCACAATAAAAAAAATGCACTTTCAGATGCTAAAAGTAAGTTACACTTGGGTACTTACAGTTATCACACAAGGTGTATGAGGCTAGAAAGTGTTGTGTCCCAGAGGACACACCCCACAACCCCCCAATCTAATCTCTTAAAATACCTGACTTTCATACAGTTTTAATTTAATTTTATAACTATATTACCACAGCTCAGGATGCCTGCCACCACAACATTTTCCAAAATGAGAGTAGTTACCTGTGGTTGGCTAGTGGGAATAGCCCAATTGCTATTTTCAGCGTGGGGAAGGGCGTTTCAGCTGTAAAAGTTCAGACTGAGAGGAATTTTTCGTGTATATAGCAACATACCCAGAAGGCACAGCTCACCACTGATGTATCTTTCCAACCTAGAAGAATTAGCCAAAGAAATAACAAGTTTGTGTGTGTACAAGCAAACGATCAGCTGAACATGCTCGGGGCCTGAGGTGTAACTTTAAAATACACCTCCAGACCCACGTGAAGCCCATCCCAAACATCAGCCTTCCTCACATCATACATTGTCCTTGCTTCACACCGCTCCACAGCAGAGGGCTACAGAAGAGAAACCAAAGTTAGATTCATAGTCAAAATTATTTGCTGATTGCTGGCTATTTGTTTAAAAAAACATTAGGGTAGAAATCTTTACTTTGAATATTTAGCCTGTTTTAGGAGAAGCAAGAGACATCCTCTAATCTTATGTCCCTCTGGTTCACCTAAATAATGATTTTGAGTATTTCAAAAACATCCTTTCTCTCTCCTACTTTCTTGCAAGATTAATTTTTCCAAGTCCACAGATGCTGGAACTGAGGCACAGACAGATTAATGTCACCAGACACAGGTATTGCTGGGGCACTAAGAACAGCCCATTCTCAGGTGGGTCATTTCTTGGGCTGGAAGTTAAAACTTCAGGAAGGTGACATCTGAAGAAAATGTAGCCACACTTCCAGAGTAACTTACCCAGTAGCAAGATGACTGACAATCATTGCCACCGCAAGTGGGAGAGAGCAGGGCCAAAGGACCAAAAACTATTATCCCTCTTGCGCTTGTCTCCTGTTTAATTAAACAAGCAAATCAGTAGGGGCATCAGAGGGAGCAGAAAATGCTCACACAAAACATGCAATGTTGTAAACTTTCCCTGAAACCCAGCTGGGAGAGCTGGGCACTTCCAAGCAGGGATCAGACACCTCGTGGCTCACGGCCAGTCAGAACTAACCCCTGCTAGTTAAAAATGCAAGTACAACACCCAGTCTCCTCCAGCCACGTCCAGGATCTACTAAGAAGACTTTAGTGACTCATATTTTTAAATGAAGTGATGAGGACTGGGGAGAGCAGTGATAGAACACTCTTGCAACACTTACTGGAGTTTATTCCCCAAGTTACAGCAGGATAAAAGCAAGGGTTATTTTTGGCTTTCTAATTAAACTCACTCTAAAACCCTCCTGGCCACCAGCTGGTGAGATACAGCAGAAAGAAGAAAAAAAAAAAAAAAAAAGGTAATTAAAGAGGCCTTCCTTTCCTTGACATTAGATAGCTGTTTTTTGGCCTTTAGGCACATGTTTCCAAATAAAAGGCAGCCCTTCATGATCAGGTGAAATTGCAGAGAACAAGACTCACTCTTTCCATCTCCAAAGCTCCCACTGAAGCATTCAAACAACTAACCCCCCCTCTGAACATTTAGTCCCGACAACACGGGGAAACGTAACCTCCATCACCATGACACTCCCAGGAAATCAACACCTATCAACTACCCAGGAATAATTAAGAGAGGATAAAAAGACAGCTGCTTTCCCTCTGTTTTTTAATCATGGATCCAGCCCCTTGAGAGATTGTCGGGTTAGAAGAGACTTAGAGAAGATTAGCCTTTTCATTAGTGCCGGGGGGGTGAGGGGACAGTTTCAGTAACTTCAACCAGGTATGTTTTTAGCAGTGAGGTCTGCACCTTGTTCAAGTAGTGCCTCTCTGGCTGGTGTTATTAGTGAGATTATAACTCAGATTAATCCTGAGCCCAGAAAGCATAGGAGGCTTTCCAGGGCAACCTTTCTTCTTTTTAAAAAAGAAAGAAAAAGGGAAAAAAAATCTCACCCCCAAAACCCCTCCCCTGATACAGTCAGGCTGGTGATAAATGTAAGTTAGTTTTCAATGGTAATTATATTTTTCCCTAATTTGTTTTTCCTACTTTAAGATCTGTGCTCTCTCCAGACATGGATGAGCAACTAGAGCAAGAAACTCTTTCTGACCCCATTTTTAAGCTCAGAAAATAATAAAGAATTTGGTAAATTCCAAACAAACTTTAAAATTCTATTTACAACGTCTCAGAACAAAAGTAATAGATTCGGTGTTTATAGCAGGAAATCAAACATGCACTTTTGACTTGAATGTGTAAGTTCAAGCTTTGTGTTAACCATGAGAGTTAACAAGTCAGTTGAAGCATTTGATTCTCTCCAAAGTGGTGAGCCTGATGCATCCTGTTACACACGACAAGAAAACACAAGAGTACACGCCCATGATAAAATAATTTGTTTTCACACTTTGTCACTTTTTGGCGGTGACCGCCCTTCAGAGCTGCAATGAAGTCAGGTTGGCCAGCCATTTTGACCCATTTTCCAGTACCATTTTCCCACTGTGCCAGCCTTACCCCACGTTTGCTTCTGCACAAACTCTCAGGAGTAACCTCTTAGAGATGCCACAAGGGAACCCAAGAAAAAACTTAAAAGGGTTTCAAATAGTCTCACCTAAAACATCATTCCCAAAGATTGGCAGATTAGATATATTATTCCATCTCTAAGTCATTAGAAGCTTTCTTCAGAAAAGTGACAAAACGGAGGATTTTGTTCCCTTTAAGCACCTCCAGCTCTTCGGAGCGGGGCAGTTACAAGCCTGTACCCCCCCAGCACTGCCACCAAGCCTGAGCTCTGTAGGAAAGGCAGAAATATGGGAAGGAAGTAAATATCAACCCTCATCTTGGAACTTCCTGCAACCACCAAACACCCTCTCCTGCAAACCAGACCCTGTGGAGAAGGGAAAGGGGTAGACCTTGCGAGTACAGCAGCCTTCCAGGTTTCATCACTGAATCTGAATGTGGTACTGATGACACCACCCCAATATTTACAATTGGGATTCGGGGACTGGATGCTGTAACACAACTGATAAACCCTTTCTGAGTATTTCTGAAGAGCAAAGTCATCTACAGAATACACTTTCCCTAGAGCGCAGCTGATCATTCATTCATTAGTGATTTCAAATGAAGGCTTAATTTTATTCATTTTTTAAAAATTCTTCAGGTATTAAGACCTCAGCATGAGAATGGTGTGGTAAAGTTCAACAGTTTGATATGCAGGAGGTTGAACTAGGCAAGCAGAATAGCTCTAAGCTATTAAAGATGGAAAGAATTTATCACAGAATCACAGAATCTTCTAGGTTGGAAGGGACCTTAAAGATCATCTTGTCCAACCATCAACCTAACTGACAAAAATAGACACCCACACAACAGTCCCTTTTAGGACTCTGATTCTCTCTCATACCTATTTCATATCAAGACAACTATATCAGGCTCTCCAGACAGTCCTTGGAAGCTCTAACCTTTTCAAAAAGATAAAATACAAACTCCTAGGTTTCTCTATTAAAAAAAGACACACTGCTGCTTCTATTTCAAATAAAACTTTGGAGTTTCCTGTAGGACAGAAATTTAAAGAAAAAAAAAAAGTAGCTGAAGACTGAACAGAATCTCCCACAGCATGCAAGTCTTACCACTTCCTTTTTTTAAAAAATGATAAACCAAAGCAGTGGGTTTTTTTATTCTGTCAATTGGGAAAAAAAAAAAAAGTTTAATGTACTCTGAACAGCCCAGTGCAGAGCCCTGCACACTGCCAAGGAATACTGAAACCACAGCAAGTGTCAAGATGAGTATTAGGCACAAACTTAAGTGGACATGCTTTCTGAAACTTTTTCAAAAGTAAATCGTTACCTCTAAACTCTACTTTTAACACACTCATAAATATTTGGCTTTTTACTTCCAGTGTACATCAGTATTCAGAGTGTATTTATTCCACAAAGAAGAACCAGAGCCATGCTGCTTCATAACCCCAGCCTTTACTGATGGAACAGCATCAGGAATAGCTCCGTAACATGGACTAAGCCAATAGTTTCTTGGCACATCTAGGTTGACTCCTGAGATAAATAAGTAATAACAAAAATATCATTCCCACCTTAACAACTCTAGTTACACCAGCTGGTTGTGTAGCTGCACGCAGCTGTGCCAATAAGAATTTGGTTGAGCTAAATATATGCTGGGTGACACTGCTGCACAGCAGGGGTGACACAGGAACTCCCCTAAGCAGTACGTTGCAGATAGAGCAAAACAAAGTGAGGACAACACAATCACTTTTTTTTTTTTTTAAAAAAAAAGACCACCACCACAAAAAACAAAACAAGAAACCAAGGCACAGCAATTCCAGCATCATCTGGAGAACCAGCATCATGACAAACCCCATATTAACCATAACAGCAATTCATTTAATGCAATGACAACTTTATTGAAGGAAAAAACCCAGCACTTTTAAGTAAAAATTTCACTTTGTTACAGAGAAAGTTACAAGTCAGAGAAAAAAAAAGGATGTTTATCAAAGTAGAAATCAAACAGTGTAAATACATAGAAAAAGCACAAACAACAGAATCAGCAACAGTATAAAACATTGTGAAGAATTTCTGAGAGTTTGGGTTTTATTTTACAAAACAATTCCACAGCTGTTAAAAAAAATTTAGTGTTGTCACATTACAGTGAGGCACGTGGTTTTAAGAAAATAGACTATTTCTGTGCTTTCTGTCCTACACAGTATTTGCTACGATTGTAAACATCAATATTTAAGACAAATGTGTGCTTAAACATCCTCCCTCTCCTGAGTTTTCAAAGTCCACAATAGCAAAAGTGATGTTACTTTCATTAACATGATTTAAGTACCAAAACTAAACCGTTGTCAAAAACTGAACAAAAACCCAAAAAAACAAACAAACAAGATCACCATGATTTCTTAAAGGAGTTTCAACTTGGTGCAGAAATGTTTTCCTTGGTTTTTGGAACAGCTCTTGAACAATCTTCTTACTGTAGCTACTAAACAAGATGGAATTGTTCACATCATCACTGTAGAACCAGCTCAGGTAGTACCAGTATCACAATGGACTTCACAGTTCTGCTCTGTTGCATGAGAACAATCCCACATTTGAATGTATAGAATTTCAGTAGTTTGGGAACTGATAACTACCGCTCTCCCCTTTTCCATTTGTTACATCTGGAAAGTCAGCTGATCCCAGATAGGCACATTTCATGCTAGAACCGTATGCTAAGGCTGCTTGGTTAAGGTTAAAAAGTTAAAAAGTGGATAGGGAAGTTGACCAACAGCAAGGCTGGGCAAAAAGCACTTTGTGGTACAACACCAAATCCTACTGAGATGGGCATCTAACATCATACAAGTTTCTTTAGCAAAGTCAGCCTTGAGTTAAGTGCTGTAGGCAACTGAGCAAGGACTTTGGGGAGGAAGGAGCTTTGTGATTTAAAACACAAACATCTCTATTTGCAGTAGAGTGTGCTAGACAAACATTCCTGCCTTGAATGACATTAAGATAGAAAGCTGGAGAGGGCTTCAGAAATGCCCACTGTGCTTCCCACCAAGCTGATGATACCACAACTTAACACAAAGTACTTCTAATGACAGAAAAGTAGTATAACAGTATGATCTAAATCAGATTGAAACTGGTCAAGAAGGAACATTCATACACTAGTTTACTCCCCAATTATGTAAAAATCACATAAAATATTTTAACAAAGTGGAAAAATCTTTTGATGCTACCCTTGGCAACAGCCAAAACATAACTACGTATAAGCAAGCAAGACTCTGAAGAGTTTTGTTCTGATAGAGAATAGTTATTTTAAATCAAAACTGCTTGTAGATGAAGAGACAAACCCTGAGTAAGTTTTGCATATTGGCAAGAATATGGTGAGTCCTACTGCCTGACCTTCACAGGGACAGAATGCAACGAAGGGCAACATAAGGATCACCAGAGTGCTCTAGGGTTTATGTCTTTGCCATCTCTCCTTGGGTTCCCTTCCTCTAAGGCCACAATTGCTTAGCCTTGTGTGCTATGCAGTGAAGATTTGTTCTTCTCTCTTATTGAATAAAAGGCTGTGGACCTGGAATTACAGCTTTAAAAGGACAGGAAGAGGGGAAGAAAAAATACAACTCCATTTAAGTTTACCCGCTATCTATTTCCTAGTAAGCCCACTATCTAAATTTCCTGCTTCTAAGTTTGTGCTCCCAACAGTCAGCTACAAGGTTCCAGTTTGCTGGTGTGCAAGTTGAAAAACTTCTATTCAGGATACCCCCTTCTAGTGTTCTTCTAGAGGAACTGCTATGAAGTCAGGGTACCACAACCCTGCACAAGCTAGTCAAGGAATAAGCAAAAGGCTTTTACTCCTCCTAATCTGAAGTATTCACAAAAAAGAACCCCAGAAGCCAAATTCCACTATGCTGACTGCTGATGAGCCTGGAATGATGATCCAAGTTAACATCACTTTCCTGGAGAGGGGAAAGAGAAATAAAGAATGCTATAGTAGCAGCGTTTTCCAGCAACACCCAGAGATGTGAAAGATAAATATTGGAATGTAAAAGGCATTAGGGTTGCATTTTGATTGCCCTTATACAAAGGAATTCTGTAAACATTATGGAAGTCCTAATAAAAGACTAACACAGGTCCTTTGACAAATGTTAATTAGGTTTTGAACGTAGCCCCTGATAAAAGAGACACACATCAGTTTAGGTACTTGTCTTAGATCAGACAGGGAAAAGAAACATCGGTATTCTTTAATTCCCAGTCTCTCTTTGAACTTTCTCTCTTTCTTTCAAACAAAGTAATAGTCAACCTAATTATTTCACCACTAACTTCCAAATTCTTGGGTGAAAAAAAAGCATCAGGACATAGCACTTCAACATGATCCTGTACAACTGATTCATCCTAACATCAGTGCCATGTTTTCAAGGCAGTATTGGAACAGCAAAGGAACATTCAAATGCCTTTGTAATGGTAACTCTAGCCAGCTGGAAGCCACAGAAAGTCTGTTAAAATTTCCTCTTCATAGCATTCTCAAAAGGGAATTGTTTTTTGGTGGTTTGGTTTTTTTTTTTAAGATGATCCTAACAGCAGGATAGTACTGTGCTTTATATATTATCAGAAGGACACTTAAGTTTAAGATTTGGAATTAGTTCAGTTTCTAGTCACTTTCTGGAAACCACAGAATTATTTGGCTTCACTGTGGATTTATACTTTATCTCCAAGTAGAACTAGGTTTTTCTTACACAGGGATTTTAAATCTCTGTGGTACCAGTCAGGGATGCGCTTGCCATGAAAACACAAAGCTCTTAAATGATTAAACTCTTGGTAGATGGAATTCTTAAAAGAGGTTTCAGTTCACACTAAAGTCCACTGGGTAATCATCTTCATAGAGACTGACCCCAGCAAGACAATTTTCTAAGAGGAAAGGTGAAAGCAGTTAAACAGTATCTCACACAGAAGAAGTAGGAAACTGTGCTCAGATATTGAACAACTGAGCACTGCAACGATCTGGGAGTAAATGATTATACATAGCTCAGAAGATAAAAGAGAATGTAGAGTGGCCTTGGAATTTGGATACTAACTGTTCAGCATTTGTTTGGAGCTGGCAGCTAGATTGTTATATGTTTTCTTTGCTAAGACAGGCAATACAAAAAAAAAAAAATGTACTTTCTCCTCAAAGCAGAAGTTCACTAGTGTATACAAGAGCTTTAGGAAAAATGAAACAATCCCACTTACAAAAAAAAAAAGCTGGAGTTTTAACCCATTTACGAGTCCAAAAGAAAACATCTTTTCCCCGGCCCAGATTGCCTAAACAATGGCCCACTTCCACCTTATCAACAGAGTTTGCCCTTTGAAAAAGGACACGCATAAATTCTCTCTTTGCTTACCTCTCATGCCCTCAGCTTCACAGCGCCCTGTGCTACAGCTGGGGGAAAAGAGAAGCACCTTGCTTCATGTCAAAAACTTCCCTTTCCTGCCTTTTATGTATTGCCATTAGCTGCAGACAAGGCAAACAACTCAGGCTCCTGGCAGCTAAAAAAATTCTATTTCCCTTATTTTGCAGGTGCTTTTTCTACAGGAACAAATTTTTACAGATGATGCTCCTTTCGTGTATTTTAAGAAAACACCATCAGTCTAAACTGAAAACTAAATACTTCATTAAAGATGCAAACATTTCATACTTAACACCAAATCAGTCTTTTCAATTAAAATTGAAATCAAATAGAATTTCAATCAAATCTTTTGGAATTCTCATATACGTAAAGGAAGGCAGGAAAAGAAAGAATACCGATATTCCATTATCCAAGGCAAACAGTGCAAAGATTAGGTGACACAGGTCACTTCAAACTGGCACACATACGGCTGTTTAAAATAAAATAAAAAACAAAACAAAAAAGCAAGTTCTCAATAAGAAATCAGTTGCCAACTGATTTAGTTTTCCTGCAAAAGAAATCCTCTAGACCAGCATAGTCCCTTCAGAGTCGAGGTCTTAATTTTACAGACTCCATGTATTACTTTGTTACTTTTGCAAAACCAACAAATACATGATTTTACATAAGAATCATCATAACAGGTTCTACATCTCTGCCCAGTTCTTCTGCCAGACTGAACTTCAGTTGATCACAAACACCCTGTCCTACAGACACCATTGCTTACAAAACCAAGCAATTGCATACATTGGATTCAACATAAGGAGCTTCTAACAAGCTGAAAGGCACATGTTTAAGACAGAAGTAGGAAAATACATACACAGTGATCTTAACATAGTTCTACTGTAAGTCCTAGAACTTTGTGAAGAATCCAGTATTTCTGTTAGGACAGGCAGACCGAAATACATTTCTTCACAGCATCCCTACAGGCAGGAGAAAGGGAAATAAAAAACACAGAGAGTCACCTCGGTTATGGTGCTTGATGAAACTCATACCATGCTGCCATCCCACTGACACTGAGGACTTTAAAGACCAGTGGACCAAGTATTAATTGCACTTATATAATTTGCACGACTACATGCATGCACTAGAACTGCTGGGCTCAAACACAGAATAGTGCTCATGGGGGAGGATCAGGAGAAAATGGTACACAGAAGAATACACTTGTCTAGCAGCCTTTCAGACCAAAATATAAGTATTCCAAAGGCAAGCCTTATGTTTAGCATGTTCTTAGCACACTTACATATTTTTATAGGAAGCCCTCTCGTTTTGTTCCATTTGTGTTCTCCCACTTAGAGAGGATGCTTAGTTTCATTTTCAGTTTTAACTACATCTATTTCCTCCCCCTGAAACACCACCATGGAAAAACTTCTGAAGCCATACATTGCAATGTTTCTATAAACTAATCTTCTGTATCATTAAACCTCAAGATGACAGAAAAGGAGTAGGGAAGTTTACCTTGCAAATGGTATGAATGAAATGCTGTACCTAAGGAAAAAGATTTTTAAAGTTAGTCTTCATGTCAGATTTTATTAGAGTCACAAACAAGACCACCCACCCCTCTGGTACTCTAAACAGGCAGCTGCAAGATACGCAACCAAAAGGAAGCTCTGAGTTTATGAGCAACAGGAAAGACTATCCTCGAAAGTCATCTTAGCCCAGCCAGGTTGTGAAACACTATGGCAAAATCAGGGGACGTATTGTAGAGGCATTTTAAACACAGTTCTCCTGCACCCAATATTCTTCATGCTCTAACACCTACAGGTAGGCAAAATTAATCTTCAGGGCTGGCTACACGTTCATATCAGTTTGTAGACTGCTTCTGTGACATTACCCAGAGCACATGCTAACTTAAAGAACAACTGACATTTAATTTGATTGGCATATCTGGGTCTTTTAACAAGGCAAATTCAGGAGAGTGTAAATGAGAAACGCCAGACAGTAATCAGCAAAATGATTGAAAAGGGAAAGAAAAAAAAAAGGTAGTTTTACTTCAAGCTCATAGAAATTAAACACGTTCAAAGGAACTTCCCCCAGCAACAGAGCCCTGAACTCCATCCCCAAAGCCTCTGAAGTGGTGTGAGAGACCAAGAAGCAGGAACAAGTCACTGATGCATTGTCTTGCATCTAGGGGAATGGTGAGGTAAAAAATTATCCTTCTTTTTAATTCATACAAGGTCAAAAATCCACTCACAATTCAGCTACTGATGTTAGGTGCAATAGAAAATGGCGAGCGTGGGGAGGAAATCACTTACCATGCCATGGCAAAAAACTGTAAGATGCAGAAAAGGAGAGCGAGTCCTTCTTTACGCCACTGAAGGAGGAGAGAAGGGAGAGAGGGGAAGAAACACAGCAAGCAATGAGACAACAGTATAAGAATCTTATTTTTAAAATATACTCGGGTTATATATACATATAGGACTCAAGTACTCACCCAGAAAGCTGAACACAGTGTTAGTATGAGACACAACTAGAAGAAAACAAACAATTTTTATTAAACATAGAAACAACTCCAGTTTTTATAGATATTGTAACACCATAATGGGTTATTTCATGGGGACAGAAACAGATTACATAATTTCATAGTTTTATCAAATCCTGCATAAGAGTTCCTTTTATTTAAAATGCTCTCGCTATTACATTTCTGAAGTACATTAAAGCGAAGAGGAAACATCAGCCTGATGTCTCCAGAAAATAATGTTATGGCTGCAAAGGAACAAGAAGAGGTTACTACAGCTCCTCTGCAACATCAGCAAGTCCCTGCTTCATCCCACACACTTCTTGTCATAGGTATAGGCTGCACTTCAGTGTTTTACATAAGAAAGACTTTTCAGTTACAACTCTCGTCTTTCCGCGTCTGTACACACCACGTTTCCTGTTGATTCTCAAGGTCACCATGGGGTTGAAGTTATGTCATTACTTACTTGTTATCAATTAAAACTACAACACGCTTTCAAGAACTTTCAGTTATTGCTTAGCAGCTGTCCTGCTAAGCCAGCACAGCCTGCCCAGCTGTCCAGCAGCCTAGCACAGCCACTCACACCCACACTTTTTGTTCCTCAAGAGTTACACTGTGTCTTTACTACAATTAAAATCTTGGGGGGTGGTAGGCCATTTTGGATTATTTTCTGTTTTAACCCTCAAGTTTTAACAGGAGCATCCTTATAGTTCAAGTTTTCATTTTTGATTTAAGACACAACAGCTCATTTAGCCGTGACAGACACTAATACTTGATCTTCTTTCATCAAGGTCTAAGAGCCTTTTGACGTACCATTGTATACTAGAGATTACAATGTGTATTTTTCTGCTTGAGTTAAAAAAAAAAAGCAGATTTAGTACCGCGCATTCAAGACATAACTCCTACATTGCCAAAGAAATCATACACTTCACCTCAGTCACGATTAGTGACATTAGTTTTCACATTAGTTTTAAGGTAGTGATTTGTAAATTGGTCTAAATGCGACAACTGGCTTTATTCCACTGAACAACATTCCAGGCATTCTCCTGACTCCAGGCATCCTAAATGCTTATAAAAGAAACATACCACGCAGTAGGCTTCTTGCCTGCTGCTGATCTGCAGGCACATACAGTCCATTTCTCAAGCTCTATCGGGTGCCTGCAGCCTCTCTGGATGTTTAAAGAGAAAACAGGAAGCACTGATGCCAAGTGAACTCTCTAAAGACATTATTCACACTGAAAACGGGAGGACAGTTTCATGCGTGTTAAACCATCTTCCAGATTTGAGACTCTTCAAAAGAAAATGGGAAAGTTGAAGAGACAAAAAAAGCATATGTACTTAAAACAAGAAAGAGTCGTAAACCTAACTTAGCAGCAATTTTCACACACCTCCTCCCAGTAGAAGGCTGGCCACAATTTCCATCTCCCAAAGATAAAAATAATTCCTAGGGCTGACTTCAGCTGAATGCTGTGTCATACGAGTTTCAAGACCTGAAGCTACCAGCCAACTCAGATGATTTCTGTATGTTCAATGCAAGATGACCAAGGCATAGAGATTCCCCAGTGGCTTTGTCAGGAAACGACAATTTTATCAAGGTAGAAATACCTATACAGCTCTTTAAAGCAAACCAGATAGAATACAAAAAGACAAAATGGAATGCCCAACAACTTCCATAGTACAACTTCTTTTAAAAAATAGTTTCCCATCTCTCCTCTTTTAAGCAACATGAAAATATGATGTTATGACCTCAAGCACCTTAAAAAAGCATGTGCATGGTTCATACACAGCAGCCACAGACCCTTAATGCTCATTTAGCTTAACAACCTGACTTCAGCTCAGTCTTTCATAATAGGAAGGTGGTTTTCTGATGCTACTCAGCCTTTCCACTACAGCAGACCTGCAGGATGTTTGATGTTTTAAGAAAGAACAAAACAAAACAAAAAGCAACCAAAACCAAAACCAAACAACAACCCACAAAGACATCTTGAGACATAGTTTAAACAAGGTATATGAAAAGACTTCACACTGGAAATGGTTTACAGGTGAGCATGATTCCTTTGATACTTACTAGCATAACAATAGTTGCAATCAAACGGGTAGGCTCAAACATCCTTTTCAATTGTTTCATTGGTCCCATAAGAAAGAGAGTGCTGTGAGAAACAAACCAAGATTAATACAGAGGTAGAAAGGCAAAAGTGAAACTAGGTAAGATTCCTCATTAAGGGGGGTTATTTTGTTAAATTGTGTGCTGGGCATCAGTACACTATGTTGTCACGGTAATCATAACATGTTTGCTGAATAACAAAAGAAACAGGATATATAACGAGGCAAAATCCATTCCTGTTTTTCTTTGTGCAAGGTATTTATTCTATAATTTTATTCACACTCGTTCAGTCACAATTAACAAAAGCAGAGCAGGACTATCAAGCTAGAAGCAAAAGTCAAGGTCAGCTTCAGTTAGATCATTCTCAATAGATGCTTTTTTAACTTGCTTTTAAAAGCACCGGCCACAAAGGCTCTGCATGGATTGCCATGTAATCCAGCTCAATTCCTCTACATAAAGGGCTGTTTTCAGACCTGGATCCATTCTCTCATCCCTTACCAGAACTGCAGCCCTCGTTTAGAGTAGAGCCCTGGTGATTGATACGGCATGAATTAGCTATTCTGCCTCATATACCATATTATTTCCAATTCCATTCCTTGTGCTTTCTAACATCTTGTTAAGTTTCCTCAGTCACAGACGGTTGTGCCTGCCACAAAGTCCATGGGGCTAACCTCAACAGCCACAGAGGTTTATCAAACCAGCGTACGCTGACAGACTCCTCCAAATGTATTCACCAAAACACACAGAACATTACCAAATGCAAAATGGCAAAGCATGATTTTTATCTTGGGGGTGGGGGGCAAACAACAAAAATCATAAAACCTCAATGCTCAAAGCACGAGTTTGATTCTTCATTACTGATGAGTAACTTTTACCTTGAATGCATTGCTAATAGCGATAAGGAAATAAAAGGTTTCTTTACCATTTCAAGGAACTACTGGGGAAATGCTATTCTTTAAAATTCAGCAACAGAGAATAAGCTACATAAACAAGTCGTCTCACACAAATGCAACAGTTTCTACCCCTTATGCACCTTCACCCATTGTTCTGCTTTAGTTTTTCATCTTTATTAGGGAACTAATATAAAAAGACTGTTACCTGCCAATAGATGTAATATTCCCCAGAGTATAAAACACTGCAAAGAGCGTCAGCCCTTTCTTTGGTACCCATAGCAGACAGCTACCCTAAAAAGGAAATTTAGAGAGAAAAAAAAAAATTAATATTGTTTTTAAATGGGAAAAGAAACATATCCAAGAAACGTCACACCACCGAAGAAGTCTTAGGTAAACTTAAACCCAAACTTCAGAATCACACACACACAAAAGTAAAATACATTTATTGCCATTCGTGTTAAGAGTTAGTGCATTGAATCTAAGTGGAAATGAGTCAGATCATCAGTCAGTCAGTCTTCCTAGAGACTCAGAAAGAAAAAAAAAAAAAAAAATAAAAAAAAAAAAAAAAAAAAGTCAAGGAACAGTATATTTGGGCTCCTGAAGCTCAATTATCAAGGAGGTCTGGCAAAAAAAGTCCTTACCAAAAGCGAGAACAGGCATCCTAATGCAAAACAAGCAATGAAGCCCTTCACTCTGGTGCCCCAACCTAACGAAGTTGCATCAATAGCCTGGAAACGAGGAGAGAAATAAAGAGTGTGAGTTACTCTTTACTGACACATCTTGCCACGCACCGAGCGGGTACATTTCCTCCGAGTGTGCCCAAGCTCAAACGGAGCTGTCAGGTCCCCCCTGGGTTTGCCATCGCCCCTGGGAAACGCAGGGCCGGGACCGCCGCCCCCCCCCCCCCGCCCGGGGCTGCCCCTGCTCCCCCCGACGGACGCCGGCTCCACCGGGAACTGTTTCAGTTTCTCCTCACAAACGGGGGAGAGTGTCTGTGTGTCTGTATTTGTGTGTGTCTGTCTGTCTGTGTGTGTGTGTCTGTGTGTCTGGTGCCATTCTCTGCCCACACCCAGCAGGTGCAGGGGGCGCCTCCCCGTTCCCCGTGCCCGGCTTCACTCAGGGGACCGCGTCCTCCTCCCTCACGCAATAATAAACCCAAAAGGCAGGGCCCCCTTCCCCGGCAGCGGCACCCCCGGCCGGGGCGGTAAAACACGGGGGACTTTAAGTGCGAGTTAGAGGGTCAGAGACCGGCTCCCTACGAACTGCCGGCCCCGACCGGCTCCGCCCCGGGAAGCCCAAGGCCCAAAGACGGGGTGAGGCGTCGCAGGCCGGTGCCGCCGACCCACGCCGAGGGGCCGTGCGAGGCTGAGGGACGGTGCGGGACTGAGGGACGGTGCGGGGCCTCCTTCCTTCCTCCCCTCCGACCCCCCCCGCCGCCGCTACGCTCCCCGCCAACAGCCGCTCCCCGACCGTCGCCTCTCCCCTCAGCAGAGAGAGGGAGGCCTTGGAGCGTTACCTCGGCCAGGACACTCGGCTCCTCCGCGTCGCGGCCGCTCAGCACCCGCTTAAGCTTGTCCATCCCGCCCGGCTCGGCCCGCGCCTGAGCGGCTCTGCCCCGCTCCCGGCCGGACTGAACTACCCCGCCCTGCCCTTCCCCTCCTCAGGGACTACCAGTTCCGGCATGCACCGCGCCGCCACGGGCTACCTGCGCTCGAGCAGGTAGGCGAAGGCCGGCGGGGACGGCGCGGAGGCCGCCGGGAGTTGTAGTCCACCGGCGGTGAGGGGGAGAAACCAGCCGCCTCCTGAAGCGGGTTCTTGCGGCAGAGAGACTGTCTTCGGGGTAATTTAAACGCTTGGGTTATTTAAGAGACAGCAAACGCTCACGCTGTCCCAGGCACGTCTTACTCTTCCAAGCAGGCTATAGCTGACATCTAAACTCTCCTGGCATTTTCCAGGTTTCAGAAGAATCCACACCCTCCACCCCTTTTACTTCTCTCCTTCTATCCCATCTCCTCCTGCTGCTTTTGAAGCCGTTCCTTGGCAGCAGGGAAGCTTATGGAAACAGCAATACAGATTCCACTTTGCTCCCAGGACTGCGGCTCTTCCCTCCTTCTAAAAAAATCCCACCTTATTTCCATAACTCCCCAGAGTGGTTCTGATGACAGGCAAAAGCACACGGATGTGACATCTTAACCGGCACGCAAAATTCAGCACCACCGAGTAGTTATTTCAGTTTATTTCGCTCAGATAAAAACAGAACTATAAAATGTTTGGTACATTTTATTTAGCGACATACAAGAAGGTATATAAACTGCCACATGTTGAACTTGCCACAAAAGAGCTGGAGAATCACCCCACTCCCTCCCCCTAAGATTATGTATCCAAAGTGGGACTTTTCTGAGGAAAAATTTGTACCGGAGCGTTTGCAGTACACTGGTTTATGCTGCTGCCTCTTGGTAATCTGTGTGGTATTAGAGAGTCACAAAGCGCCCCAAGTTTTACTTTGTACTAACTGTAACTTCCTTAACATGTTCTTGTGATCTCCCCAACACGTATGTTCCACTTAAATGCACAGCACCCGAGATAGATGGATATCACGTATCTATATATTCAGGATTCAAGTCCATTCAAGACAACTGTATCAACAGGTCACACACTGGTATGTATGATGGACAAGATAAAATACACAGTATAAGCTAAACATGCAGAGCACCCTTTCCAGCGCCAAGTGTCGATTCTGTGGGGTTCCCCCTCTGCTGTACTTTAGCCCAATGGAGTTTGTTAGCATCACTGACCAAACCCAAATCAGATTTAATTAATGAATGCAGATATAGTTTCCCTCATGTGAGCACTGCATCAGCTCCCCTCTCTGTCACTACCAGCTTGAAAGTGTGTTTTTATAAGCCTTTAAGGCATGTAAAATAATATATGTTTAGAGTAAAAGAAGTGCCATGATTTACATCCACCAACAAAATCTCTCTTCATCCCCAGTTGTTGTTCCCTTCCATTTTCTCCCATATCCCTCTATGACTGGAGTGGACCTAAATAATCTATTAATAAATGAATTTTGATCACTTCCATGCTGCATTCATTTGCAGCCCCTTCTTCATCCTGACACTAGAAGTGCAGGAGGATGAAAAAAGCCAACAGAATTTAAGATTCTAATGGGGAACATAGAGGACCTCACCCCTATTTCAAAGTGGCCATAAATTCACTCACTCAGATCATGTCTGGTTGATAATAATTTCTGTCAGACTGTTTTAATTTCAGTTTGCTCGTTTTATCCTATGGATCATAAGATTTTTAACAGTAATCCTTTTCAAAGGATTCCAAAGATAAGGCTGCAGGTGTAGTCAGGAAAGAAAAAAATATTCAAATCAGTAACTTTTTACAAAATAATCCTCACAAACCCTCAGTGAGGTAGGCATGTATTAACCCTAATTTTTACATACAGGGAACTGAGGCACAGAGAAGTCACTTCCCTGTGGTTAGAGTAAATCAGTGACACAGGAAAAACTGCAGTTAGTTCCTGCCTTTCAACCTTATGATAGATTTATTAGACCAGGCTGCCTCAAATATGAAACAAAAAGCTGTTGTTTTTATTAAGATGACAGTCACTTAAATGGCAGTAGACTTTTTTCCTAAAAACCTCAGTGTCTTCTCTAGGTGAAAACCATTTCTCAGAAGACCCGGTTAAATATCAGGTTTTTGGAGTGGGTTGCTTCTATTAAGTCATGCAGTGTAGAATATGAAGATTTTTAAACAAAAAACTCCAAGACATCAGAATGCATACATATTCTTATCTGCCATCACCTTAAACCACAAGGCCTGCTTTTCACTACTTATTTGCTTCTTGCACTTCGTTGAGTGTGAGCAGTAAACCTAGACAAGTCTGTTCAGCTCCCTCATTCTTAGGCCAAACCATTAACATATAATTTAGGCTTTCCAAAATCAACACAAATATTTAAAAGTTTAATCTACAATGTGTTGAGTTAAACCCATGACTATACATGTGATCACACTTCTATTAGTATCAGAACTTGAAAAATTTTAAAAATAAACCCAAATTATGTATCTGGAATACATGTTAGCATCCTTTAAAGGTTACATCGGACGGCAAACACCAGCATCCTTTAGGCATTAGAGACTGAACGCCCCTCTCTTCCCCAGACATAACCCACCCTGCAATTTAGCAGTGTGACTGTCAGGGCGGTATAACCATCATACACCGACACCAGCCAACATGTCCAACAAAAGGTCAATACAGTACAAAGCATTTCCAGTACAGTACGTGACTGTAGCAGCATACGGACCCCAAGTCATAGTCTCCAGAAGTGCCTAGAGAAATCTGGCTGACATCAGATTAAACTAGTATTTGTGAAGAGACTTCCCAGTGTGTGTGTCTCTAAGCTTCCAGCTTTTTCCTGCTCTGGAGTTAATGTCGCACAAATAAGGTAATTTTACCTTTAAATAGTGTCAAACAAATACAAGTTTTTTTTCTCTTTTGCTCCTTAAACCCTCAGATGAAATAAATATTATTAAATTACAGTCTGGATCAGAGGCTCCAAAAAGTAATTAAGTTGGTTATCAGCCCACAGTAGGGGAAGCCAAGCAAAACGTGTAGTTTAGGATTGACAGTTCAAAATAAATGCAGAGGAATATTTTATTTTTTTTTTACCATGGATGATTTCTCAATAAAAATAAAATCATGCCAATTTTATGACTCCAGTAGTCTCTCAGTATCTGAAGCAGCAATAACAAAATCTTCATAGAAGTGTTTGTGGTGGAGGGTCCAGACAATACTCCTGCTTAACTGGTGAACTAAACAGAACCCAGACTCTTTATCATGAGAGCCTTTCTCCAATGCCGCTGAAGACTGTAACTCACCTCCAGTCTATCATTAACTCCAGATACAGGTTAAAAAAACAAACAAACAAAAAACACAATTAGCAAAACCTCCTTGAAATGTTTTCTCTCAGGGCTACAGAAAAATTAGCCAAATTCTTTATTCCACTTGTAGTGAAACCGCCCCCCATGGCAATGGTTACATGCTCACATTATCTCCAGTGTACTTCAAGTCCATATAAAGTCACATTTATTTAGACTTAACACACACAGTTTCCAGTGATGCTTCTGGCTTAGGCTCCAGTTTCTCTGGGAATTCTAGTTTTTCACAGATTGTCTCCTTTATGGGTAGATACTGAGAGATCTCATTAGGTTCCGTGAACAGAGAAGGTGGAACATGCTAAGAAGCAAAAATTTTACATGAAACAAATGAATGAAAGGAAGAGAAAATAAAAAGTTATTCCAAACACAGACTTTTACAAACAATTGATCTATAATTTAGCTGACTGAAACACTTGAAGTCAGGTATAATTATTAAAATTAGCTTTACAACCTCAGATGTGCATACAGTCTTTTACTCCTTGTGTGGATCAATAAACTAAGGAAAAATATTTAATGTTTTCAAGCAGTAGATTATAAGAGACAGAGACATTCATGAACATCTATAATTTTTTTTAAAAAAATGTGTTTATCATTTGAATGTAACAAACAGTCTTTTTGAGAGTCCAATACTACGTAAGAGCAGGATGGCTACAAGGGATCCCATGTTTAATGTCTTCTAGCCATTGCAATATATTCATTGGAGTTGCTTAGATTTAGCTACTGATAACTGATACACTTCAACATGTATCTTAGTTTTATGAAGTCAACCACAGACATTTCTATGAAATACTAAAACTCATTGGATTTTAATTTCATATCTGAAGAAATTAGGTGGTTTCATTAAGTTGGTATCTTTCTCTGGAGATTCATGTAGACAACTTACCTTCATCACATACAAGATATTTGATAAAAAAATTATACTGATAAAGCCACCTGCAAACATTCTAACAACATTCTTTAAGAAGTGTATCGAGAGCTATTCAAAGGCAACCTGTATTTTGGCTACCCTTAACATGCAAGGAATCATAGTGCTGTTTCAATGATTTCAAGCCTAAGCAAAGTAAGAATCTTTTTAACATTACCTATGCAAACTGTTCTAGGGAACTGAAAAGCCATATGCATTTCCCCTCTATAACAACAGCAAAAATTATTTAACAGCGTAGATGGTAATTTTTAAACATGAGGTGAAGTAAAACCTAGATCACTGATTAATACTTCAAAAACCATGAAACTATCAAAAAGCTCACATCTGAATTTAGTCCTGTTTATAGGGATCATATATTGTTAAAAAATGCTACAATGTCCCTTTCCTAAAAAAAAAAAAAACATTTTGCAAAAATATTTCCTCAGAAGGTTAATAACACATTAGTCACTTTTAACAGATGAAGGAAAAACAAGGGAAATGGGAAGTAAAAAGAATGCCCAAGATCAGATGTTGGGTCAAGAATAAAAATCAAGAGCTGCAACTCCGAACATGCCACAAATTATTCTGAACCTTTACTAGAGTTTTAAGGTGGGCTATCAAACTCAGTTGAGAAAAACTGAATGAGAGTCTATTACCAAACAGACCTTAACCCCTAATACTACTTGCAAGCGTGCATGCATGAAATTTGGCATCAAGGACATGGACTACCTGATTTTTTGGCTGAGTAGTTCTATGAAAAAAAAAAAAAAATTAAAAAAAATCGTATTAACTCAAAAGTAGAAAAAGTAACCCAACCCCATATATTGTCATGTGGTCAATGGATCTGGGCATTTACAAATGCAAATCTGTCCTGACATCTGAAAAAATAGATGTTGCACAAGCAGAAAGGTTTTTCCTCTGTATAGATTCCAAACCTAACAAAGAATGATTTACAGACAGAGAATTTTCTATGCTGACCAGAAAACAATTTTAAGAAACAGACGGAAAAAAACTACATTTAAAAAACGCAATACCTTTAAACTTGAGATTTTGCTTTCTCTGGATGTATATTCTCGCAACATGTAGGCCTTGTCAGCCTGATGGGAAAAAACAGCAAAAATTAAGCACAAAGTTATCATCTAGCATCAGTGCAAAATAAGCATTTAAATACATTGAATTTAGTAAGCATTTGAATTTTGTTGACCACAGATTTTCACCTGGGAGCAGAAACGTACGTTCAAATTCACGAAGACAGAGAAAGATGTTTAGCAATGTTCTCTTTCCCAAAAGTCACCTTTCTGTGTGCATGCGTGGAAAAAAAAAATTCTATGACTGAATATGCTTGTTAATCTCTACTCAGCTAGAACTCCTACATCAGTACGCCTAGAACTAGGTAGAATAAGCAAACCATAACTGTTATGTTGTATTTCTGAGGTACTAGAACTCAGCGTAGTATGGACAGTTGCTTACAAGTTAAAACTTGCCTGTCATTTACTAGACAAGCCAAAAAACATTTACTTTGAGACAAGGCTAAGAACAGTATCACACCATTTACTGTTGCCTGTTTTTCCTCTTGTACTTTCTCTCTAATGTGTGTTTATCAAATATATTTAAATGTTTACTGCACGTAACAGTTGCCTACTCTGCTCATACAATACCCAGCCCCATGGCATCCAGCACTTGGTTGCTGCTTCAACACCACCTTAACAACAAAATACACTTGAAAGTTCATTTCAGGTAACCTCCATGCCCCCAAACATCAGTATTAAATTACAGGAGTATCACCGGGGCTTCTCTGACAGTAACATGGCAAGGGAGCATCTGTAAAATATTCATGATGGCAAACAAGGGTTTACCTCATGATGAAGCCTCGTATCATTCATCCTGATAAGTACTCCATCAACGCGCAAGAAAAACCTCAACAGCACAAAAAAGCTGGAAGGCATGACTCTCTGCAAAAATAAAGACGTTGCATTCAGCACTTTTTTTTTTTTTACTTTTAAGTATGCATTTTCTATATCAGATATTCACAACGAGAGATAGTATGAGGAGTTTCTGGTGGTAGAGTCAAAATTTGGGCTGTTGCTACAGCTATCGCTGGACAGCAGGGCAGAGAGGGTCTCAGAAGATTCTTAGGCAAGATGCAGAAAGAGGGAAAAGATTGTTCCCTGAACCGACAGACAGAAAGATTTCAAGACAACATGGTTTTCAGCAAGATTGTATTTCTAAGAGCAAGGATAAAGAACTCTGCATTTTAAACTTTTAATCCCGGAAGGAACAACATGCAAAAAGTGGCTGCATTTTGGATAGATTAGCCAACTGAGTCACCAAGCATCTTGTATACAACTCTTAGTACTCACTATTTTTACACTCAAACTTGATACTCCATGATCGTGAAGTTCATCTTCAAAGAGAAGTACTTCTTCAAAAAACATAATTTGTTCTCTGGCTTTCAATTTCTCTGTATTTATGTGTTCTGTTGTAGGAACAACCTAAAGAAAGAGATTAAGAACGGTTAGCATATTAATTTGTTGCCAAACTACATAAAGTTTGTCCTGATCTTTTAAATCCTGCAATTGCTAGTTTTAGAAAGGAAAAAGCTTTTAGGGCACGAAGCTTAAAACATCCCAAAACTCTAAGAGGAAAAATTAAAATTAAAACCAAAGCTTCCAAGAGGAAACATCGATCAAAGTAAAAACCAAGAGTGGAAAATGCTGGAATAAAGTGCCCTCTGGGTACAGGCTCTCAGTAGAGTTTCAGCTGCAAACAAATCTGCTCTTTTTCTGTATTTGAAATTATTTGAAGATGCCTAATGTTTAACATGCAAATGAGAAGTTCTGTGTTATAGCAGTATTCCATCCACTTGGTATCTCTAGCCAATGACAAACGCTGCACAGGATTTGAACAAAGCCTTTTCATGGAAATCAAGTACTTGTATGTCTTCCATCTCATAAGCTCCAGATATACTCTTACGCTTCTGCTGCCCAAAGACTACAGGCCAACAAGACATCATTTATTTCTATGCTGCACTTCTAATTGTACGATAACTCAAGCGATCTGTAACTAATGCAATCCTAGTGAATTAAAATAGATTATCTGCTTGGTATCAAGTGATCTGTATACAGTAAAGAGAAAACTTCAGTCTTATTTTTAAAAAAAATAAAGACAAGGGAGGGCCTGTCAATTTAGATATGAGGAATTACTGTTGCAGAAAAACAAAGCCATTGAAAGCAGCCAGATCTACATATCTGCATATTTAAAGTCAGGTTGGATGGTGCTCTAAGCAACTTGGTCTAGTGGGAGATGTCCCTGCCCATTATAGGGGGGGTGGAACTAGATGATCTTTAAAAGGTCCCTTCCAACCTAAACCATTCTATAACAGCTTCTAAGCTTTGCTTGACAGAAACAATATGCAATCAGCATTTAACAAGGACAAACGGTTACCTTTAATGTCGCAGTGTCTCCCAGCAAAGTTCCTTTGTAGTCTGTTGTGTAAGTCCAATCGTATGGCTTGACAACTTCCTTAGTGTGCTCAGTCTCACTCCTCAAGAAGTTAAAGAGAAAACAGAATGCTTTGTAGTAATTCTTAAAAAATTACAACCTCACATAAGATTATGTATTACGATTCCAACACTCTTCAAGGAGAAAACCAGCAGCATCGTCTGTGCTGCAATGATGATGTCAAGACTTAATCATACAGTATTACTTCTTTCACAACACGTTTCTATAATACGTTATAAAACTGTTTCCAGAATTCCTGTGCTAACACAATCTCTGTCCTATGAGTCAGAAATAAAGATTTTTAGTTCAATGTTATTGAAAAATTGTATTTCAAGACCATTTTTTCTTTAAGTAGGCAGAAAGCAATCTGCTGACAACACACAGCAATCATTGACACTGCTATTTCCCTTAGCTTTCCTTTCTCTCTGCTTTGTTTCTTGGTGCTCTGCAACTAATTTCACAAATAGTAAGCAGTACAATTAGTTTTGATGCATGGTAATTGTTCTGTTATATTCCTAAGGCTAAGATTTTGAACACGTGCAGCACTTAACACTTTGAAACACCACATGATACAATCTTGTAATGCTTGAGGCTCTATGAGTTTGAATAAACAGAAACAGCATTAAGCCACGTTTTGTTTTAAGAAAGCCAAGACACAACTGAAAAAATATAGCTGACCCAATTTAACAGAGAGTTTTTCTTTGCTGTGATCATCCTAAGTGAATTCTATGATCACACACCGTATCTATGGTAGAACCAAACACAGCACGGTCTTCAAAAGTTCAGCCTGTTCTTTTAACTACTTTATGACAGTTTCACATACAATACAGCAGTACTTGCCCACCAGTGATAAAATACTGTACCTGCTCTCTTGCCACTCCTCTGCACAAGCCACTTTGATCATACCTTGACAATTATTGACACATTTTAAAGCATCTGTTGCATTGAACTCAATTCCAAAACCATGATCATGCTGTATTCTTAGGATATTGTCTCCAAACATCATCTCTGGCAGGGAAGGCATGTGTAATTCATCAGCCAACCTGCACAGAAAAATAAAAGTCCCATGAAGAGAGATCAGTCAGCTATAGCTCATTGAAAGCACTCCTTGTTCTGGAACAAGCATTCTTTAGACCATGGTAATTTACAAGACATGCGATCAACATGTTCTGCAAAACTCTTTTGTTTTCCCAGTTTAATAATTGGACGTGAATTGCAGAGTCATTGATCCATGATCCATCGATCCATTTTACACCATAGAACTATTCCTAAAACATTCCTTCTACATCAGGCTCATACAAAAGTCTCATACGTGAGGAATCAAAACAGTATCTGATAAGCATGAAGTAGCAACTTTCAACCTGTTGTAGCAAACCCCTGGATGGTCCATGAACTACTTCGGCAGGTGCCTGAAAAGCTTAGGAACAGACACTCAATGTCAGCAAGCTTACATTCTCTGCACAGTGGTCCATACCTCCAAATTTAGAAGCCTACAAAAAGGAGCTGAAAACAACCCGAATATGGGAAAAATCAAGTGCAGGAGACAGTGCTGTGCTCTACTACTTTCCTGAGCTGGTAGAGAATACATGCTGGTATTTGTAGCCTTAAGCATGAAAGCCAGAGCCAGAGCCACAGACCCAGCTGAACAAAGTACTGCATGAATGAAGTAAGCATGATCCCTGCATAAAATCTCAAACTACGCTATTTCACTTTTTGTTTTATATCAATCTTTATGCTTATTGATACATATGTATATATCTACCTACACTATATATAAACACACACACATATAACACCACTTTATATACACACCTTATTTACCAAAAGCCTTCGTCTACTTCTTTTCCTCCCTACCACTACCTGCTTTACTTATCAAGATCAAAAATAAATACATGACATCTGGAAAGAAAACTTTAGGAAATACGCTAATTGTAAAGAGAAGGGAGGGGGGCAGGAAGTGTCCTAATCACAACTTTCACATTGATAATAAGGCATCCCTGAGAAATAAAAAAAAAGTAATTATTTCTGTGACCCTGCATACAAAAGAACCAAACTAAAACAGAAATAGAGAATTCCTAGACCTGGAGAAAACGATACCATGCCTTTCCCAGAGAAGACAGAAAAATGTTAGGAACTTTTCCATTTCATCACATTGCAGGCCCCTTGACCTGCAAAGACCAACTCCAGCACAGAAAGGAGTTCTTAGCTACGGCAAATTTAATCCTTCACCTTCCCACTGAGGTCACCAAGATATTTTTGTGATATACGTTTGCCAGAAGTAAAACTCCTGCAGATACTAATGATGTTCCCCAAGCAATAAAAAAGGCAAAACGCCAAGAAAAATACATTATAAAAGGAAACTGACTAAATGCACTGCAACTGGATAGCTCTTGGCCCTTCAGATTTGAAGTGGAGGAATTGTTTTGGGGGATCTTATGCTAGGTACTAAGACCTACAGGAAAATGGCTAATTTTGGACTTCTCTTCCCTACCCTGCAAAATTCTCTGTGTTCTTTCAAGCTTGTATTGTGGCTCTTGCAACTTAACTTTTCAGGCTTTTTCAACACGTTCTGAAAAACTACGTCCCCCTCAAAAACATCTAAACAGATAAAGGCAATTTCTGAAAACTCCAGAGGTGACTAGTTTAAAATAGCTACAGTTAAAGAAACTGAATAGATCAGAAGATGAGCACAGCAGGCAAGCTGGCTTCTAGACTGGCAGTTCAAGTGTCTCTCTTGTTTACAGATAATGAAGAGAGTTAACAACCTCCCGATCTTAAGAATAAAGATCTTCATTTTTACGAGATAGCATCGTACAAATTAAGTCCTCCAAACACACCATAAAAAAGGGATATTCTACCTTCCCCTGCAGGACACAGGTACAGCTTAGCTGGATCTTGAATCCTCATTACAGGGAAAATGACTAAATCACAGGATTCAAGTTTCCTTATCTGTAGGACCACTAGTCCTACAGTCCTACTAAAAGGACCACTAGTCAAAAGCTGCTTGAGAAGGTTATTTTAGGCATTGAACACAGGATAAATATGGAGGAAGGAACATAGTTTTCACCTGTTTTAAGGCAGATATCCAGTTAAAAAAAAGGTGTAATGCTGTTATGTTAACAAAAAAATATTTTACTATACTATATACTAAACGATAACAGTTTCCTATAATAATAAAGTCCCATGTCTTGAAATGTTATCAAACAATTGCCCTCAGAAAAGTTAAAAGCAACATGAACGAAGACGCTTTTAACAAGATTAAGAAGATTTCCATGTATGTATTCCAGAAACTGAAACCAAGAAGTGTCTGTCAAATTCAATGGCTACCAAGGTCAGCTATGGCATTCCACTGATGAACTGTTCAGTTCCACATTAGCAAATCTGACTGAAGCACTTGATGCTGACACAGGAGCATCTTCTCCAAGAGTTTGGCAGCGGTGGAAATTACTACTACAGGGAGAGTGCAAACAATAAATTTTTAATGAAATCCACCCTCTTAAGATAGCCATTACCACACAACAGCTTATGACAGTCTGCAGACCACATTTAAAAGAACCTTAATCACCATTAAAAAGTAATTAAGAAAAGCAGGCTTCTAATTAGCAGGCTTCAGTTCACAGAGGTTCAGATCTCCATAACCATTAGCAATCATTAAAAACAAAATTCTGGAAACCCTGTGCAATCCAAATCATCCCAGTTTCTCAAGCCAAAAATCAAGCTTACCCTCTCAAAAAGAGAGGGAACAACACCCGCCCCAAACCCCGAGCGGTAGCTTAGTTTATTCCAGTAGGAATAAAGAGCATTTTCCCTGCCCAGGGGGACGTTATTTATTTGTGGTAAGAATCATAGAATGGTTGGAGTTGGAAGGGACCTTAGAGATCATCTAGTTCCCACCCCCCTGCCACGGGCAGGGACACCTCCCACCACACCAGGTTGCTCAAAGCCCCATCCAGCCTGGCCTTGAACACTTCCAGGGATGAAGAAGGAACCCCAAAACCCTGGCGGTCAGGGAGGGCGCTCCCAGCCCTGAGGAAGGGCAGCCAGCAGCGCAGATACCGTCGTTCCGCTCCCTCCCCTCCCCGCCCCACCTCTCGGCCTGCGCGGACTTCATGATGTGCGTCCGGGCGGCGCTCAGCTTCCACGGCCCGAAGGTGAAGTCGCGCCGGCTGCTCTGGAAAACAGGGTGCATGGCGGAGGCGAGGGGGGAAGGCCCCGCCGAGGAGAAACCGAGAGGGGACCAGAAAGGGGCGGCGGCGGAGCCCGCCCCACCTCACCTCACCTCTCCTCTCCTCTCCGCCGCAAACCCCTACACCCCTAACGGCAGCAACGGAACCGCCGCCTCAAGACGCTTCCGCTTCCGGGGAAGCCCTGTGGCGGCAGGAAGTGACGTGCAGCGCGGCAGGGCGGGAGGTGCCTGTGGCAGGGCGGCCGTCGGTGGCTCCCAGTGCTGCCGCGGGGGAGTAGCTGCGCGCCTCTCTCCTCCCGCCGCGGGAGAAGGCCGTCCCCGGCCTCCGCCCGGCGGGGCGTAAAGGGGCAGCGAGCTCGCTCTTCCCGGGGAACCGTGTCGCAGCGGCCGGCGCCTGTGCCCGGCGGGCGTTCCTGCTTCCCGCCGCATCCCCGGCGCCCAGCCCGAGGGTGGCTCCGTCCCTCCCGCGGGAAGGGGAGGAGGGCGCGGAGCTCGGCGGACGGCACGTCTTGCGGCGGGGCTGCCGAGGGAGGGGTGTGAGCGGTCACGGGGAGCTCTGCGCTGTGCCCCCGGTGCTGCCGGGATGTGCTCAGCAAAGCGTTACCCAGCTCCGACGTACCGACCCCCGCTGCTGCTGCAGGGGTTGCGGGTGTAGGTGCGTGCATACGTGCCAAGTCTCCCGGGCTGGTTGGTTGGGTGTCTTCTTGAATGCTTCCTAAAGGTGGCGTTTAATAAAAATAAAATTGTCAATACGCGACGGCACGGTAAGCTGAAAATCACAGAATCGTCTAGGTTGGGAGGGACCTTAAAGATCGTCTAGTCCAACCATCAACCTAACTCTGACAAAAAAAAATAAATAAGAAATAGGAAATAACTACTCAACCATATTCCTGAGGACCACGTCTACCCATCTTTTGAACACCTCCAGGGATGGTGCCTCAACCACTTCCCTGGGCAGCCCATTCCAATGCTTGATAACGCTTTCGGTGAAGAAATGTTTCCTAATATCCAATCTAAACCTCCCCTGGCACAACTTGAGGCCATTTCCCCTTGTCCTATCGCCTGTGACTTGGGAGACGAGACCGACCCCCGCCTCTTTACACCCCCAAATCCCGTAGAAAAGCGTGGGTAGGACGGGTCGGGAGCGGCACACAAGCCGCTATTCCCGCAGCGATGGGCAGGTGCTGGTGCTGCCTCCCTTGTGCCGTCGGAAGGACAGACCGACCCCCGGGGAGCTCCCCTCAGCGCAGGGGCACGCTGCGCGGACCGGCTCCTCGCCTCAGCGGCCCGGGGACCGTCACAGCCATGTCGTGGAAAAATCCACATCCACCTGCGTCGTGTCTCATCCACACCGCGGAGAGCGACCAGAACGCAACAAACTCCGGTGGGAGCCGCCGTCCCCAGCGCTTAAGGGCTTTGCCAGGAGACTGGGCAGCTGGGGGTTAGGGATGTGCATCCCGAATTAATTATCCTTCACTCTACAATGCACCCGCCTTCGGGGGGAGGGGAGCTCCCAAAATCCGCTATGCATTGTTTTTAGTAGCACTTTGGGGGCTAGGAAGCCGTGAGGATCTGCCACTCTCTGCGACCGCCTTGCGCTGGGCCCAGTCGCTTCACCTCATCTGTATAAAAACCGGAGCCCTCCTTCCCAGCGAGCTCCCGGCGGAGGAGGGCTGCGGGGAGACCCGCAGAGCACCGGCTGCTCCCTGGGGTGGGAGGCGGTGCCGCCCCTTCTTCTTCCCTCCCTCGCTCTTCAGCCCGCTCACAGCGAGACCAGATCCGGGACGGGCTGTCCTGGGGGCTCCGCGCCTCCCCCTCGCCCGGCCGGGGGGCGGTGGCGGCAGAGAAAATGGCGGGTGGCGAGGCCGGCGATGAGGGGTGAGGCGGCGGGGCGGGCCGGGCCGGCGGGGGCATGGCTATGGCGGGGGAGGGTCGGGCGGCGGTTCGGGGCCTCTCTGGCGGCGGCTGTGGGGGGTCCGGGGGCGGTGTAACCCGAAACCTCCCGCTCTGACGGCGGCGGCGGCGGGCGGTGAGTTGCGGTGCCGGCGGCCGGGAGGGGGCAGCGGGGACGGCGGCGGGACCGGCTGACCGGGACCGGTGTGTGTGTGTGAGTGAGGGATGCCCAGGGTGGAGGATGCTGCCCCCGCCCCTTTGTTCGGTGCCGGAGGGAGCGAGGGGGCAAAATGGCGACCCCCCTTCCCTTCCTCCTTCCCCTGTCTCCAACTCGGTAGCGCTGGCTTTGTGTGTGCCGGGATGGGGTGGGGTGGGATGGGATGCCCCCTCCCACCTCGGGCTGCCCTGCCCCTGGAAGAGCCACCACTCCTGGAGGCCTTCTCCTCCTCCCCCGGGGTTCCGCGGGGCCCTGAGGGGCCGGGGAGCAGGCGGGTGTGGGGAGCGGCGGCCCGGCGAGGGGTATCCGCCTTCCCAAAAACCTGCACCGGGCAAAAAATTCATCGTGAAAGCCGGCCCAGGTGTGCAGGCGTGTTTGGAGAGGAGCTTGAGGAGAAACAGTGGCGAGGGGTGGGCAGGCAGCTGTGCTGGGGGAGAGCTGTGCTCTGTTTGAGAGAGCATGGCCCAGTAATGTCTTTAATTATGTTCTTAGGAAAGCACAGATAAAAATGGAAAAAAGGCGGCTCGCCAGCCCGACATCGCTGCCGCCCCAGGCCACGGCGCACAGGGAAGCGATCCCGTGAGTACTCCTGGCCGTGTGGGAGCCATGGGTGCGCGCGGCTGAGATAACGCGCTCCCTGTCTCTCATCGCCAAGAAATGCTAATATCAACTTTATATTAATTGACAGACTCTCTTTAGTTTTATGGTTTGCATATTTGCGGTTTTTTGGTGGTGGGGTTTGTTGGGTTGTGGGTTTTTTTGGTTTCTTTGTTTTTTTCCAGTAGCCTGCAGATGGGCGAAGGATTGAATGAAGTGGAAGGAGTGCCTGTTGGAGGCACTGGGGAGAAAGCTGCCAAATAATGGGGAGAAATACACAGGTTTCACAAAACGAGGTTCTGAGTCAGCGGGATGGATGCTAACGCTGAGAAGTCTGGGGTTAAAGGTGCTCAAACGCTTCTGTAGGGTGGACCTTAATGTAAAGAAGTGTCTTTTGAACCCCGTGTACAGAAAGCCGGTTCCCCCAGTCCTTTGGTATTGGTAGTAAATTTGGTATTTAGTATTTAGTAAATACCAATACTTTGGTATTGGTAGTAAATTTGGTATTTGGTATCTAGTAAAATAGAATCACCACTGTTGCTGAGGTGATGATGAACATGGAGAAGTGATGTTAGGAGAGTACAGGCAATGATCCCCGTGTCTTTGAATGTTACTTAGCAACTGTTAAGAAAAAGTCAGCAGGGTATACGACTAGCCAGGCATCCACAGACCACCAGCAAATGGCTGCGTAGGCAGAATACTAGGTAACGCTCAGGATAAACAGGCAGATTTTTTGCTTTTGAAAGTGACTTTTTTTTAAAGCAAAGAAACAAAGACTGATAGTGACATTCTTCTTGTTTCTTCACAGCCTAGATGAAGGGACTGAGTGAGATGCACAGCTGGTAAGTATGGCTTAGAAACAAGTAAGATCCTTAAAAAATTTTAAAGTAAAAGGTGTTAATTTTCTTCCCTGTTAATTTTACCCCCTTCCACCTCTTTTTGTCTTTCAGTTTCTTCCCGGTTCTAGGCTGGGTACTGTCATTGGCATCTTAGGTGTGCCCAAAGGCAATATCCTGTCCCTTCACTTTCCCATCTAAAATGGTTTCCTGCATCCTACAGGTAAATTCTAATTAATGCAGGCAAAAGGGCCTCCCGCCTTCAGAGAGAGTTTGAAGAAATCTTGCCTGAATGTTTCTGAGCGTTGTTGTGCTTCTAGCTGCTCAGCATGTCTTCGCTGCTCCAGCTCTGCACGCTCTGACCATGAGCAACAACTTCTCCCTCAGCAACGTGAAAGGCCTGAGGAATCTCACCGCGCAGGAAGACGGGGTGGTCAGAGTCACAGAGTCCATTGCTATAATCGTCATTGCTATTTTCATCTGTTTGGGCAACCTGGTGATTGTCGTCACCCTGTATCGGAAGTCTTACCTTCTCACGTTGAGCAACAAGTTTGTGTTCAGCCTGACCCTCTCCAACTTTCTACTCTCCGTCCTGGTGCTGCCCTTTGTTGTCACCAGCTCCATTAGGCGGGAATGGATCTTTGGAGTCGTTTGGTGCAATTTTTCAGCCCTGCTCTACATGCTGATCAGCTCAGCCAGCATGCTTACTCTTGGACTCATAGCTATAGACCGGTAAGCAGCTCTTTTCTAATGAGCGGTTAACGAATTGCCTAGTTTCATAGAGTGAGTTGCATAGAGCTGAGAAGTGCTGCGCGGATGATGGTGTGTACCATTGTAATGTCATTTTTTTCTTCAGCCCCTTGTGGAATTTTGATACAGAACAGAAGGTGATGTCATCAATAAGGCAAAATGTAGGCATGCATGTAGATTTTTTTTTAAGCTATCAGTGGTATAATAACATACTACTTGAGAAACAAGAAGTAATGACTTAAAATTCCAGATTATACCCTAAACATGCTGACACATGGGGATATATTTAATAGCTGCATGTATGCCTTCAGCCAAGTTTTACGATCTTGCCTACAGATGTTCTTATTTTCACATGTAATTATTTTTATAAACAGGGTCTCCGAGCCCGCTTCCAGGTTTAGAGAGAAGAGCTTGTTCTGCAAAGCAGAATAGTTATCAACATCATTGAAATACGTTCTTTTTTCTTTGAACATCTTTTCTTGTCTGCCAGGTACTATGCTGTCCTTTACCCTATGGTTTACCCGATGAAGATAACGGGCAACAGAGCAGTGGTGGCTCTTGTGTATGTGTGGCTACATTCCCTTATTGGCTGCCTCCCTCCTCTCTTCGGCTGGTCGTCTTTGGAGTTCGACCAATTCAAGTGGATGTGTGTGGTGGCCTGGCATAAAGAGGCAGGCTACACTGCCTTTTGGCAGATCTGGTGCGCGCTGCTGCCTTTCATGGTCATGATGGTCTGCTATGGATTTATATTCCGCGTGGCAAGGATTAAGGCCCGCAAAATCCACTGTGGTAGTGTCGTCATCGTGGAGGAGGACTCTCAGAGGAACGGGAGGAAGAACTCCAGCACCTCCACATCCTCTTCTGGCAGCCGAAGGAACGCTTTCCAAGGGGTTGTCTACTCGGCCAACCAGTGCAAAGCTTTCATAACCATCTTGGTTGTCATCGGTGCTTTTGTGATTACGTGGGGGCCTTACATGGTAGTAATTACATCAGAGGCACTTTGGGGAAAAAATAGTATTTCCCCTGCCTTGGAGACATTAGCTACGTGGTTGTCCTTTTCCAGTGCCATTTGCCATCCACTAATTTATGGACTGTGGAACAAGACAGTGCGCAAGGAGCTACTAGGAATGTGCTTTGGGGATCGGTATTACCGTGAGTCGTTTGTTCAGCGGCACAGGACATCCAGATTATTCAGCATTTCCAATAGGATCACAGGTAAGACGCGTGGCTGCAAAAGTCACTCTTCCTTGATACCAGTAAGTAATGCCTGGTGTCTGTCTGTACTTCGTATGTCTCGAGGCACTGTAAACAAAGTGGGATGTTTCTGGAGGTTTCAGCAGTCTTTTGTTCCAGTTTTCGTAGAGGTTTGAAAGGAGAATGGTTTGGGTTTTTTTTGTGGCAGTTAAGCTCTTCTACTCTAGTACAATTTTCTATGCCAGAGAAGATGTAGTTATGAGGTTAATAAAAGTAATGTATTTTTCTTCTCTATCAAGCTTTTCCTTTCATGTGCCTACCATTTTGTGTTATTCGGATTGGAGCACTACCAGTAGTTTGATTCCTGGTTTTATACTATGGCTCTGAGATTCACTGAAGTTACACTGGTCTTACTATTTCTGTAAATTCAGTTTTTAGCCTTAGTGGTTGTGAAGAAAAGATCATAAACAAAGTAAAACTATGTAAAAGAGTAAAACTACTTCATGTCTCCCCAAGTTGAAGGCTGAGAGCTTTAGTTGCTCAGAGTTTGATGGGTTTTGGTTTGGGTTAGGTGTTTTTTTTAAGTAGCAATGCAATGAAATTCTGAGTTTTGATCACTTTCCTGGTCCTGTTGAGAAGCTTCCAAAACCAGGACATCTTCGTGGGGTCCCTTGGGACATTTCATGCAGAAGTAGGAACTGAAGTTATTTAATTGTGAAGGAAGATCTAAAATGCAGAAGAAAGGGGAGGGCAGCAAGGCATCTGTTGTCTTTTCTGCAACCTGGAATCCCTGGGAGAGACTCCATGTAAGTGGAAGAGTTCTGCAGCTGCAGCCACATCACAAGATGCAAGAGCTCTTTAGCACTTCTTCCTTTGGCAAATCTGTATCCAGGAGATGCTATGGTTGAATACATTGGGAACTGGAAGGGAGAAGACAAGACATTTCTTCCTGCTTCTAAGTGATAAGAAACTTAAAAGCTTCAGATTTGCCAGGTGACTGATAGAGAGGAAAAAACCAACCAAGCAAAAAATAACAAAATCTTTAAGCAGAATCCAAAGACCGCACCTTTGTAGGAATCCTAGGATATCCTGCCTTCCTGTTTTGGGGATTTGAAAGAAGCCAGGCATTTTGGTGCCCCAGCCTTGCTTGTAAGCTGCCTGTCACAGCTGCTGGTGGCTACCAGGTTATTCCCTGGCTTGAAGGTGTCTGGCAAATGTCACCGTCTGTCTGAGGGCACATGCTCTGTGTTCAGCGTGGCTCGCTGATAAAATGCATGTGATTGCAAAAAGAGTGGGAGGGAGGTGGTGCAGGTAGAAAGGAGACTTGCCTCATGGAAAGGCTCCAGTGGTACCTGAAAGCTGTTGACTGGGTTTCTAAGATTGAAAGTCCACATGCTGTGCCGTCTGGATCAGCAGGGTGAGTTTTATACATGGAATAGTTAACACAGGAGAGTGGGAAGAGTTTTTTACTATTGTAGACCCCTTAAACATTGATTTTGTGTAATGAGAATTAAACTGTCTTACAGATTTAGGACTCTCTCCTCATCTTACTGCCCTCATGGCAGGTGGGCGGCCATTAGGAAACAGCAGCAGCACAGGAGACACAGGTTTCAGCTGCTCACAGGATTCAGGTAACTAAAAGTCTCTTGGTCTCTATTCTTGGGCAGAAGATTGCACTTGTAACTTGGCAGTACTCTCTGGGATAGTCTGTATTTATACACAGATGTCTTGTAGTGCATGGATGACATGAAGCATCTGTTCCTGCTGTTAGAACAAAACTGCTGCAGTTGCTTTTTTCGTTCCTTGCTCTCAATATATTTACTTGCAAAATACTGTTTACTCTAAGGAATGATGACCCTCCTTTGATGATGTGTCCTGGGAACAGGACTCACTGCTTTTGTCCCCTTCTTCTTTAGTTTCTATTGTTCTTCAGGGACTTTCCCTCTCTCCACAAGAAATGGAGCAACAAAGTGCTGTTGCGAATGTGCTTCTCTGCTTCCTGGTTTATGAGAGACCTTGTCTTGGTTTTGCCTTGTCTTACATCTTGCAATGTAAACATGAACACTTAGGATAGTTTCAGCTTATGATTGTGTCACTACTTAAGATCTCTCAACTGAAGATGGTTAGGAAAAGATAAAGAGTTCTGCTAGTAATTTTCTATCTGGAACTGTAGCTGGACTTTTCTGCCAGTTAATTCAGCTACCGTTCCTTAACTTCAATCCAGTTATTTCAAAGAGTATTTCTGCTCTGGAGACACCAGAGGGTGATCTTCTGACACTTGCTTGGTGTCAGAGGTTTGTTTCTTACGTTTGTAAGTCTATAAACCTGGGATTAATTGTAGTAATTTTGTGCAGTAGTCGTGGCCGAGTGGTTAAGGCGATGGACTAGAAATCCATTGGGGTCTCCCCGCGCAGGTTCGAATCCTGCCGACTACGAAATGTCATTTTTTTCTATTAGATTGGATACTAGGAACAAGTTCTTTCCTGTGAGGGTAGTGGAGCGCTGGAACAGGTTTCCCAGGGAGGTGGTTGAGGCCCCTTCCGTGGAGATATTCAAGGTGAGGCTCGACAAGGCCCTGGACAACCTGGTCTAGTTGGGGATGTCCCTGCTGACTGCGGGGAGGGTGGAGTAGATGACCTTTGGAGGTCTCTTCCAGCCCAGACCATTCTATGATTCTAAGCTGGTAGTTTTATGCCCATTTTGGATATTCTGCAGCTTTATGGGATAAAGGAGAAGAGCATCCTGGCAAACCTGGCTCAGTTAAGAAGCAGTTGTGTTGTCATCTTTTGAGGAATGGTACTGAGCAGTTTAAACAAATGAACAAACTAAATACGTACCTAATGCCACAAGTGTCACTGTTTGTTATGGAGGGGGTACAGCCCATAGCCTGGGAATGGATACACAGTGATTCACTCTTGTGAAATACTGTTTCACTGGATGCCTCGATCGAGGAACTACAGAGGAGGAACTAAAGTCTTAGTGTCTCTTCAATGGTGCCTACTGCAGTATGTGATCCTGTGGTTTCTGATGCAGTTGCATGTTTATCTGCCCTGGTAGACAGAAGCTGGGCTTTTCACTTTGTGAAAAACAGATGAAGTAGTAGGAGAGAAAAAAAATAAATCCAAGTGGTGTCAGATGTATACAAAATACTGAAGTGGGAGAGCAGAGTCCTAATTGCTAGAAATGCTGCCTCGATATCAATTATTCTAAGGACAAAGATCTACCCTGTAAGAATAACAGGCTAGTCTTTTCACTACCTTTACTTGAAAAAAAATAATAATGCACTGAACTGTGCATTTGAAAAAACACACTAAAACTCTGCTCCATGGAAGAAAGTATCACTCTCTTCCTAGTGCCATCCTTCCATTGCACTGTTAAAGGAGAAGCTGCTGCCTGAGCATTTGCACACCATTCAAGGAGTCAACACAGACCACCTGAGTCTTCAACTCCTAGGACCAGGGTACCTTTGCAGTGGGCAACCCCAGTGGGGTCATGGGTGCTCCTTTCAACTACACACACACACACACACACTTTTAGGCACGCTCCCTCCTTCTTCAGGCTTGACCCTAGGTTTCCTGCAGCAGAGTCTCAGGTGTCAAATTTTATAAAATTAAGTAATTAAATTGAAAGGTACAGCAGCAAGGTCAGCCTGGGCTGGGTGCCTCCAAAAAGGGAGGGACCTCAAACAAAGAAATCCCTGGTCAATTATACCCTTGTGATCTACACACCTCATGTGCTGTTCAAGCACCTTTTAGTCCAATGGTGAGTTTTGGTCTGGGGTCTTCTAATACCTTACTGGATTCTTTTTCTGTGCTTGGGTAGGCAGGCTGTTGACTGCTCTTACCTTGTTGATGTGCAGTCTCTGCTGATGGTTGTAGCCTCCTTATGTTCTGGTTTACACTTCTTGTGCACCTCTGCTCACTGGCAGAACATGGGGGATTGAGAAATCCCAGACTTAGGGGGAAGTACTAAGCTGCTAGGAAAATTACTAATAAAATTAATTCTATTGCAGCCTAAAGGCTTCAGCAAATCTAGCTACTTGTGCTAAGTAAAGCTAAGCAAGCAGCATAAATCACACCATATTATAACCCTAAGTAATTTATTATAATTTAAAAAACTTATTTAAGCTAAAGAACTAATATGTCTCAACAGCACCCCATGTTTTTGAGGTGGATTCTGTACCCTTGGAGATCAGTAAGAGTCTACTGTTTTCAGCCTCAAACACAGCTGATCCACAGAACAGCACAAAAAGTCATTAGCATATTTGGGACTGTGTATTAGGGCAGCAGCTTGCTCTTGTGTGCTGGAGGGACGTGTATGACAGAACACACAAGTTTCACCTTAAAAACTTATCACTTTGCTATATCACAATGGATTGCCAGCAAAGAGTAGACTTATGGAACAGTATGTTGCCCAGAGGTAGACCCCCAGCCATGCCTTTGTCTCACTTCCCATTAAATGGGTGCTGGAACTCCTCCTTATTGCAAAAAGAATAAATTTGGAGGTCGAAAGCAGTCAACTGGGTGAAGAGGGATTTGAGGCCAGCATCTGGAGGAGTTTTGAAACCTGTGAAGGCTTTTTATCTTAGGCCTGTTGTTACACCACAGGAGTAAAGGGACTGAAAATAAAGTGTCACATATGGAATGTATGCAAGCTGCACACACATCACAGCTTCTCTGAGGACTGCTCACTCAGCACTGTCCTAGAGTCTCCCCGAAACGTTGGCTCTGCTTTTCCCTTACACAGAGAGACCAGCATTGCAAGAGAGGACTAGGCTGCATGTGTGTGCAAAGTATTGCAGAGATGCCTAGATGAAATTCCTTCTGCTTGTGAACTCTATCTTATATTGGAAAGGTGCAAAGCAAATGCAGGAAAGTGAAATAAAAAAAATTTCTCCTAAACTGAAAAAAAAAAAAGACTTGTTGGATAAAAATCATTCCTAATGAGCAAGGGACTTTTCCCTATTAAAATACACGTCAAGAAAGTAAAAATAGGTTATTAGAGACAAACCAAATTGAACAGAAAAATTCCCCAGTTCAGATTTCCCTCCAGGTTTGATTACAAGCATGAGGTTTGGCAGCTATGGTTGTCTGCCTCTCAGGTAGCCATTGTTTGCTTCTCATCTTCATCAGGAGATGGGGGAAGTTGCCCTCAAAGTCGCCTTTATTTACTGAGGGTAAGGTTTCACCTTTGTCTGCTGTCCTATTGACATTATAAGCTCTGCAGCTGAGCATTTCAGAGCTGCTTGAGATTTCAGATGGGTAATGAGAAAAGATTTCCAAATCCTTTCAGTGAAAACTCTGACCTCATACTTTTTCTGTACAGTGTTTTCATTCAAGCTGAAACTTACTCACAAAAGCTGGGTTTGAACATCTTTTGAAGGAACTGCTATAGGGGAAAAAATTTTTGCCACCGCTTAAATATTGTATCTCAGTGGTAGTCTGTTTTGCTTGAGAACTCTTGCTTTGTTTCAGGAACTGACGCGATGCTTCTTGAAGATTATAGCTCAGATGGTGCTCATGCCCCACACTGCATCTGTCCTCCTCGAAGGAGGAGTTCAGTGACGTTTGAAGATGAAGTAGAGCAAATCAAAGGTGGGTTTAGGGGTAAGTATGGAAGTGCTCAGAAACAACTGTATTGCCTGCTCAAAGCCTCCCAGGACCTTCAGAATTGCCTTAAAACATACCTGACCACTGTTCACCCTTATATACCTGACCATTGATGCAGGTCCAACAGAAAGTAAGATCAGGCCTTATGTAGGGGCAGGCATCTATTACTTTGTGTGTGTGTGTGTGTGCAGTTCTTAGTGCAATAGTTTCCCACAGGTTTATCAATTCTCCTTGATGTGTCTCGGGGTTTTCAGGATGTCTGAGATACTAAATTATTTCAGCAGCCTCGTTGAAGGATTACATTTAAGATTACACCTGTGTTGCCCAACGTGTTGGCAGGTAGAGAGTCATACAGGTGCTACAAAAGCAACTACATCAACACTGAAGAGCAGGGTTATCCAAGGCAATAAAATGTTAAGAAGTATATTACTGTCTGCAACTGCAGTCTTCAGTCTCTCTTGGCACAGAGAGCTCTACAACTTTCCCACTGGAAGTGGAAGTTCATCCCACAGTATTTGTGGAACCAATTTAAGCCTAAGGACATCAGACGATCATACAATGGTTCAGGTCAGAAGGGACCTTAAAGATCACTGTGTTCCAATTCCCTGCCGTGGGCAGGAACACCTCCCAGTAGACCACGTTGCTCAAAGTCCCATCCAGCCTGGCCTTGACTACTGATTTTGGTCACTACTTGGAAGAAGCTCTTGGAATTTCGGGACTTGTTTTAAGCCCAGCAAACATCAGATTTTGTGTTTACGGATTAACATGTTATAAAATAGCTCTTAAACTGCACTGTGCATGTCAATGAAGTGCAAGATCTTAGTGCAAATGGGCTGAGAATCTCTGTAAGGCCTTAAGTTGTGCTTTCAGCAGAGGAAGTACAGATTGAGGGTTCTGTGCCTGTCTTTTGCATGAGGTCTTGCATGATGCCAGACAATTCCCATTGTCCCTAATCCTGGGCTCTAGGCATTAAGCAGAAACCAGGCTGTTGACTTCAGTTGGCTACAAATTCAGACCCATAAAATTCTGTGTGCATAAGTTCAGAATCAGAAAATCATTCAACATACACTTAATTCAGTTAAACATATGTGTATAAGGATTTTGCATCATTAAATCTTTTTTTTTTTTTTTCACTGGAATTGGAGGTAATCTTTCTCTGCTTAAGCTGTCGAGGTCATGCTGAAGCTTTGTGGAATAGGAACCTCTGGTACTTCAGTAAATGTGCTCTGTAAGGTAGTTACTTTGCAGAAGGCATGATCATATCTTTACAAAAGGATTAGTATTAGTCTTCAAGCATTTGCACAGCCATGCTGATCAACTATTAATTTTCTGATGTGTTGCTTTTTTTTTTTTCCCCAGAAGCTGCAAAGAATTCTGTTCTTCATGTAAAAGCCGAAGTCCACAAATCTCTGGACAGTTACGCATCCAGTTTAGCAAAAGCTATTGAAGCTGACGTGAAAATCAGTTTGTTTGGGGAAGATGCTTTACCAGGAGCTCTGTTCCCTGTGCGGACTGTCCCAGGAAGCAGCATGAACACACGGCGTGGCATCAGGCCCCATGCCAGCCAAAGACTTCAGTTGCAGAGCATCGATGAAGGGGGTGTTTGACAGGAGCACCGGAGGAAGAAAACAGAATGAAACCACTAAGCGGGACCGACTGCAGCTGTTACTGTTTTCACAGAACCAGGATACCTTGTTGGGAAGTTTTCAGTGTTTTTGAAACACTTGAAAACCAGCTGAATTATGGTACTTACACCAGCATTTTACAGCAGTATTTGTTTACTGGTTAGGGGTGCTATTGACTCTTTTGTGCCATGTCTTAAATCTGTCACGCAGTGCATAGGAATGCAGCGTTTGGTTTCATGGACCAGATCAATTAGTCTGTTGAATCTTGGGTTCATCATTGGCCAAAGCCGACTAAGGAATGAAAAAGAAAAGTATGTGCAGTGTTTAATTCATTAGTGCGGTAATCCTTTTCTGACCACCAGACTAATCAGTTTATACCTGACAGCTGGAGTGCTGTGACAGGAGCTTGTGCATTGGATACTACATACTGCCTTACTGTCACAGACTCCCAAATGGTGGAGCATGGACTTCACTAGGGGACAAAATCTGAATTTTTCAGAGAGCTCATGCAGATTATGGTCCTGCTTACCCTTGCTAGTGGATATTTCTGGCTGTTCAGCCGTAGGAACACCAGATCTGAAACTAGATTGTGCATTATGACACGCCAGCTTCTCGAGGTGTAATGGGTGGAAGCAGACCTGTGCTGGAAATATCACAAAAATGGTATTTGAGGAAATCATCAATGTGGAGTTCTTAGTTTCTCTGAGAACTTCAGTTCACTTCCCTGGTTTTACCTTTACTGAAAGGAGGCTCTATGGCTACGGTGATTTTGACAGAATATAAATAAGGTATTACCACTTTATATTTGGGATTCATCTTTTCTAGAGAGAAAGGTTCTGAGTTTTAGGGTTTTGGTTTTTTTTTTTTAATTGTGAGGGAATGTAGTATTTAAGCAATAGTTACCTCAGCAAGTATATTCCTTGGGAGTATTAATTCATTAATCTCTAAAATAAGAACATTTGGCACTTATACTGCACTTTGCATGTTCTTAAGCACTGTCCAGGCATTACCTTGCTAGGCCTTTATGAGAAGGTTCCTCAGCCCTGCTTGCCAAAGAAGGGGAACTTGGCAACAACAGTCCTGCTGCTGGCAATGAAACGAGCTGCAAAGGTGGGAAGGTTTGTTACAAAAAGAGGGATGAAGTGGATCGTAGGAAAATGCCTGGCTTGAGGAACCTTTCTGTGCCTTCCTGGGCTGGCTCCTTCCTTACTGTGTTGGTGGTTACAGCCCTGCCTTAACTACTTATTTCAAAGAGAAGGAGATCTAAGTAAGTAGGATCATTCTTTTGGGGTGGGTGTTGGTAGCAAATGGACTTAGGGACCAAGGATTTGCATTCGTTGACTCTTGTGCCTGCTCCCCCTGCCTCCATCTTTCCCCAGCAGTGGTTTGTATGAGTTTTTGCTGCAGATTGTTTGGAAATCAAGGGCAGGATGTTTCCATCTGGGCAAAACCTGGGTGTATGCTTGTTAAATTATGAGTGTGTGTGACTTAGTTGGAGGCACAGAAGCAAACTATTTTTGAGGCAGATCCTCAGTCCAGTACTGTATTTAGTAGACATCCTGTTTGTCTGTGTTCCCAACTCAGAAATACGTTTTAGCACAAGCTTACGTCTGTCTCAGGACAAAGCAGCTTGACTTTAGGAACTAGCCTGAATCCCATGATGTTCCCATGTAAGTTGTAACGGCATTCTTAAAATTCTGGTTTGCTGATTGAGAACAGGCAGTTAAAACAAGAACACTTAAGCACCAGTAAGATGGCTCTTTGGGTAAGGCAGGAATAAAACAACTAACAGTAGTGAGGTCCTCACAGCTTATTTTTTGCTTCTAGTGTGTGAGATAAATTGGCACCTGTGGGCACTCATTTAAAAAAAAAAAAAATGCCAGTATTTGCCAGGAAATGCCCTACACTGAGGTCATTATTGCAGTTGTTAACATTACAATCACAGTTGCTCCTAATACTCAGCACTCCTTAAAGTACACAGGTGGCTTGGGTACTTGTTCAAGCCACCTCAGGTGGTTTGGAGTATTTCATCTGCATCCCTTTTATTTCTTATTCCTGCTTCAAAATCAGCTGAGCAAAGTTGTCACCGAATGTGAAAAGGGCATAAGTGAGTATGAATGCATTGAGGCGAAGTTGGTGGTAGCCCAAAACCGTATATTTAGGTGGAAAAATTCCAAGGCACAGGTGAGCACAGAATTGTTAGTATTGTATAAAATGCACGTTTTTCACACAGGTACTGAGCCGGATTCAGGCATCGGGTGGAGTTGGAGTGGCCTCAGTTTACACCGTGGCTGAATTTGGCTGCCAGTGTTAATTTCACTAATCTGTTATTTAGTGTAAATGTTGTTAATATTTTTGTACACACATTATAACCTTTCCGTAATTCTGTTATTACCACAGCCGTTATCTCACTTGAATTGTCATTAACAAAAAGCAGTGAGTAAGAAATGCACACATTTTTGTAAAACTGTATTCTGCGTTTTAAATACAACAGAAAAAAAAAAACCCAAAAACCACTATTTCCAGCTTCTTGTTTATACCGCTGTTATTTCGACTTAAAATGATTTTTTTAATATTTTACTTTTTAAAAAGTAAATTGAACTTAATGGCCGGACCTGGCGGCGGTGGCAGCGGGAACCGTTTCCAGAGGAGAAGGAAAGGACCCTGGGTGAAAGACGGGTCTCTCCCCGGCGGATGGGCGTTCGGTACTGGCGGTCCCCGCCGTGCCCCCGGAGCAGGACCCTGTGTCAACGGGGACCGGGACCCGGCAGAGGCCACGCCCCCTGCCGCATGGCCACGCCCCCCTGGGGGGTGAGGGAGCACGACTCGCCCCGCCCGCCAATGGCAGCGGAGGAGGGCGGGAAACAGTGGATTCGCAGAGCGCGGCGCCGATTGGCTGCGCCGGCCCCCCCGCTCCGATTGGGCAGCCAGCAAACGCTGAGTGTGATTGGCTGGTTTCAAGAGCGAGGGTGGCGGTTACCGGCCGGCGATGGAGGCCGTTCCGTGCGACCGGCACGGTGAGGGGAGGCGGGGGGGGAGGAGGGACACGGCCGGAGTGTGTATGTGTATGTGTGTGTGTGTGGGGGGTGTCCCCACTCTCGCTCTGACTGGTTCCCCTCTTCTCCGCCCTGCAGGGTCCCTCTGCTTCCTGAAGACAGGCGTCCGCGATGGGCCCAACAAGGGGAAGAGCTTCTACGTGTGCGGAGCGCAGGGCCCGGCGGCCTGCGGCTTCGTCCTGCCAGCCAGGTAGGTGCAGGACCGGGGAGGGGGCGCGGGAGGGGCCTTCCCTCCCCTACTGTGCAGGTCTTTGAGGGAAACTCGGTGCTATGTCAGGGGTAGTAAACTTTTATTTTCTTAGTCACGTAATCTTTGAGAAAACTTGCTAAGTATTCAAAAATTTACCTCATGAAGTTCAAACCAGGCCAAATGCAAGGTCCTGCATGTGGGTCGGGGCAATCCCAAGCACAAATACAGGCTGGGCAGGGGATGGATTGGAAAAAAAAAAGTACCAAAAAGCCAGCCGTGTCCTGAGCTGCATCGGAAGCAGCGTGGTGATCAGGTCGAGGGAGGTGATTTTGTCCCTCTGCCCCTCCCTGGTGAGACCCCACCTGGAGTACCGAGTCCAGCTCTGGGGCTCCCAATGTCAGAAGGGCACGGGCCTGTTGGAGTGGGTCCAGAGGAAGCCCACAAAGATGATCAGAGGGCTGGAGCACCTCTCCTGTGAAGACAGGCTGAGAGAGTCGGGGCTGTTCAGCCTGGAGAAGAGAAGGCTCCAGGGAGACCTTATAGCGAGCGGCCTTCTGGTACTTAAAGGGGGCCGACAGAAAGGTGGGGAGGGACTCTCTATCAGGGTAAGTAGCGATAGCATGAGGGGTAATGGTTTTAAACTGGAAGAGGTAGATTACGTATCAGGAAGAAGCTCTTTACTGTGAGGGCAGTGAGGCACTGGAACAGGTTGCCCAGGGAAGCTGTGGATGCCCTGTCCCAGGAAATGTTCAAGGCCAGGCTGGATGGGGGTTTGAGCAACATGGTCTGGTGGAAGGTTGGAACTAGATGATCTTTAAGGTCCCTTCTAACTCTAACCGTTCTATGATTCTGTTTTGTCCCAACTAGTTGTTTTTGCTGTTTCTATCCTCTGTGCAGCTTGTCTTCTGTTTATTCTTCCTCTTTTCCTTTTCTCTTTTTAGTATTCCTGCTTCTCACTGCTTGATCCATGAGGGATGCATGGTGGAGCTGCAAGTCCTGGTTCAGCAGGACACAGATGAATACCGGTAAGTTCCTCAAAGTGGAAACACAGATTTGTTGTACAGGTTTGAACACTTGGAATTGTTTGGTGGTGGCTGACTTGCAATTTCCTTCTAGAATTGGCTCTTCCAGCCTTGAGGCCTTCACTTAGCATGTTTCAAAATGTTTGCTACTTTTTTTAGCAACTATATTCAATGGTATAAACCTAAGTGGTCAGATAATGCTTGATTTTAACAGAATTCAAAATGGCTCTGTGGTTGGGTTCATCTGAGACTCGTGATGGTTGCATCAAATTCACCAATTTTAATTCAGATGAAGTTCTTGCAGCAGTCCTGGCTGGCTGCGAGTTTAGGAAAAAAGATCACATCCAAAGGTTTTCTGTTCCTGAGGTGCTTTAAAGATGAGGTGGCTTGTGCAGTTTAACTAAAAGAATAGCTGTTTCCTTACACTTTGAAATCATAGGACACTTCTGAGACTCTGAACATAGACAATATATTTGTCTGAGTAGTTACTTTTTTTATTGCTAAAATTAAACAGCAAACAAACCCCAAAACCTAGGACTCTTTATCCAGCAAACAATGCTTTTGTAAAAATCAAGTGCAAATCAAGAGAACTTGTCTATGATGGTTTTGGTGCAAAGTACTTTTTAAAGAACGCTTATATTGTGGTTTAACGCCAGTCAGCAATTAGGACCACGCAGCTCACCCCTCTTCTTCCCCTCAAAGAGTAGGGAGAAGAAGGAGAAAAAGAGGGGGAAAGGGAAAAAAACAAACCTCATGGATTGAGATAAAGGCAGTTTAATAGAACAATAACGGAAAAGGAAAATAATAATAATGGTAAAAAATATACAGGACACAAGTCACTCTCACCGCCTGGAGGAATTGGTTGCACAGCCTGACCCGACCTGACCCGAGATCACAGATTCCCCTCTCCCCACAGCCAACCCCCGTTTATGTACTGAGCGTGAAGTCTATGGTATGGAATATTCCATTGGCCATTCCATTGGTCTGTTCTGTCTAGGCTCCTTCCCAGCTTCTGTGGGAAGCCAAAAAAGGTCCCTGACTAGTATAAACATCACTTAGCAACAACTAAAACTATATGCGTTATTGACATTCCTTTCATACCAAATCTGAAACCAGCAACCACTGGAAAGAAAATTACCTCAATCTCAGCTGAAACCAGGACAGCATTGAGTTCCTTTACCGGCTCCTGCAGTTCAAATCTTGTTTTATTCTTTGGTAGATTGTTTTACCGATGCCTTAAAAGTAAGTTGAATGGGAAGAAATGGTGTGGAAACATCCCATGGCAGGTATGAATGTTTCATTTATATTATAGTATCAGTTTATTCCAGTATGACTTTTTGTTTTGTATACTGTAATCACATCTGAGATTACACAGTGGTAGAGTTTGTATTTTCTTGCTGAAAAGTGTATCAGCCTGCTGTTCTCCAGATGAGACTTCTCTTACTCCTAAATTGTATGAAGTAATCGTTGTTCTCCAGTCTTAGAAGAAATTTACATTTGATCTCCAGCTGTCCTCTTTTCCTGAGGATGATGCTATTGGGACTTGATCCCCAGAAACCATGGGAATGGCAAACTATGTAGAAAACCAGCACTTTTGTTTTCCTTGTAAAATGTTTATCCCAATCTTGTTAAAATGCTAGGAAAGATGATTGTAGAGAATGAAGTCTTGCTTGAGATGATCAGGTTGTGTTTGTAGCTAAGCAGGCTTTAATTTGTACATTAGCACTTACTTACTCACTTGTATGTATTGCAGGATCCAAAAACTACCAAAGTGTCAAAAGCCTTAGAATCTGAGCCCAACGCAGCACCTCTTTTCAATCCCACCGGCCAAAGAAATCCATTCAAAGTGATAGACAAGAATTGTGAACCATCATCCTGGAAACAAATTAATCAAGGAAATGGAGAGGAAAGTAAAGCAAAAGGAGTAAAAGTAGAGAAAGAGGGTGTGCTGGTGTCACATAAAGAAAAGAAATCAACCTCTGATTCCTCCCTAGAGAAAGAACCTCTAGAAGGGCTGAAAACTAAAAACAAACAGTCCACAGGAAATAGGAGCGGTCCAGAACTTAAGGAAAGCACAGTGTCTGAGTCTAAACTTGGTCTTTCTGAGACTTGGAAAGGGAAAAACACCTTTTGCGAGGAAGAGAAATATGGTGGCAGTGGCAGGGAGTCCAAGGAGTCTTCTGAGCGTGTGGAGAAAGCGGAAGGAGCTTTGATCTCCCATCTGGCTCTAAGTCTTGGAAAGCAAAGTACAGCCAGATGGGAGATCAAAGCTCCTTCCGCTAAGTCTTGGAAAGCAAAGTATAAGTACCAAGCCTCCAGAGGAGGAGCAGCTCAGAGAGAAAAGCTTAAAAAGCTGTGGGGATAAAGAAACCAGGGAGAAAGTATACACTGGTCAGAAGAATGGAGGAACTAAAACAGTGTCTAAAGAAGATGTGATTTCCCCAGCAGTACCACAATTGGCATTGCAACGTGCTGACCTGAAGGGAGGAGCAGAGGCAGCACTGCTCAAGACCCAAATCGGGCCAGGACTGGGACAGCCTGCTGATGAAGTTGCTGGCAGTGACACTGATGAAGTAAGAGTTCTTTATTCCTCATCAGGTAAAAGTAAACCTGAGAAATCAGTTCAGGGTTTGCAGTCGGGAGAGATTCCTGCAGGAAAATCGGGAAGGAGTACGCAGGGGACATCTTTGCCAGGAACTGCAGCATCACATCATGTGGAAGGACACCAGGACCCTAAAGCTCTTCACAACCACCTTGTAGTCCAGCTGAAGCAGAAGAAGGTAGATTATTGCACCTATTATTCCCCCCCACTTTTTTTTTGTTTGTTTTGTTTGTGTGTTCAGGGTGACTTCCTGTACTCATGACAGGCATCAGAATACGGTATAATATGGTATCCCCTCCAAGCAGAAACTCAAAGTATTTAGATGGCTTAGGAAGAAGGGGCAAGGGAGGGAATTCAGCCTAGGCACAGGCTAGTAGTTCTAAGTCAAATATGAGACAATTACCCCTGAGCCAATACAGCCTTCTGCATTTGGGGGTGTTCAGTTTTGACCTGCTTGAGGTTGTGTCTGTCTTTTACCCAGAAAGTAATTTGCCTCAGATGGAACAGTGCACAGCCAGCTTAAGCTTTTTAAATGACGTGGCTGTTTCTGGTGGTCTCTCTTGGCCTTGTGAAGTAAGAGTGATCTAGCCATGAAAGCTCACACTAAGATGAAAAAAAACCTACCTGTCTGTTTGCT